GAAATTCGTTGCACGGGCCAACGCGATTATACAAGTCGCGCGCAGCGCGCACGTGCACATTGCGACTGACGGTAGCGGGGAACGACAATTGCGTTTCGCCAGGCCAAATGAAATTTTAAAAAGCGCAATTACGGGATAATAGCTCCTGCTAGAAACCCTGCAATACCGCACTCAAACGATATTTGCGAAAAATTCGAAGAAACGCATGCAGGCGAGACTTACGCGGCGATCGATACTCGTAAAAAAACACGCACACGCATGCAAAGAAGTACGCGCGGCTCCAGCAGCCGGCTAATAAATTGTTGCTCGCTGCTTATTTTTAGAAATGTCGAACGCTGTTTTTTTAAACCCACTTTCGAAATTTTCAATGCAAATTACTCAATTATTCCCTGGGTTCGCTCGACTTTTTGGGCTTCCGATGCTTTTATCGATCACATCCAATCTCCGCAAGGAAAATCGTTTTTGGCGATGAAACTTTAGCTGCATGAAGCAGCCCACGGAGATGGAAATAATGATAAAAGCGCTTAGAGTCACTTGCTCGCTCGCTCGCTCGCAGCTTCATACACATAGCACACTTGATAGCAGATTTTTTGCTTGCCTATGTGCTCTTCTTTTGACACTAACAGGAGGAAAAAAGGTGCTGCGCTTATTATTATGCGACAGATTGGCTATTGGTGAGCAAATATTGTCGTCCAATTGTCCTGAATTACTATTTGTCTCAGACATTGACTTTTAATTGGAACAGGAAAAATTAATTGACAAAAATGCACCACGAAAGATTTTATATCAATTGTAGCGCTCGTGTAACGAGACGAACGTGTACAAATGTTTGTCCTTAGAAAAATACAATTCTGAAACTTTTCGCTGAAAGTTTTCGTTACTTTCCAAGCGACACGTGCGCAAGACGAATCTTATCTAATCTTTGAGAGCCTCGGGCTAAATACGTGCATTCCCCTCGTTTTCTCGCGGCTTTCCAGCGCAACCAATGAAAAGTTTTCCAAGCAGTATTACTGCAAACTTTAATTAATCTTCGTTGTAGTAATGTATAGAGTAACGCTATAGAGTGAACGTTTAAAAAAGAAAGCGTACACACGACTTATTTTTCACGCTTGAACAGATTCAGGTTTTTTTCTTTCGTCATCGAAACAAACGTCGAGTGTATCAACATTAATTATTAGCAAGATTTGCAGTTAGAAGAGCGACGCGGGAAACTATTTCAAGTGGAGCGCGTGTCAGCCTCGAAAAATGATCCAATTCCAACATTAGACAGAGACAGGAAGTGCTCTGCGTCATTGTCGTACAAATCACGCTTACCTACCCATTTTTTCCGTCTCTCTCGCTCCCGCGCCGCTCCGACATCGATCGCGTAGTTTCAAGTGACTTTTCCACCCAAGAAATTCACGACGACGTTACTACCAGCAGACTGCTGCTGCCTCCCGCGGAGAAAGTCGTCGACAGCGTGCGGTCTGTGGTGATTCACACAGTCGGCGGAATGCGCAAAAAAAAAAGAAAAAAAAACTTTTCTCTCTGCATCTTATAGAAAAAAATCTGTTTATTTAGGTTAGGTAATTGTAATATTGCCGGCTGTACATGTTTTTAACATCGCCAGACCTTTCATTGCGCTACTTAGTGCTTCAACTGGCTCATTCATTGACAGCAACTACTGCGACCAGCGACCACGCTCGAAACGCCCAATGAATCATCGCGACGGCCAAACGACGAAGATGATGTTTCGCTGTGTCTCCCTGTCACCGGCATCTAGGTTCTCGCGACTCTCAAGGAGCTCCATAAAAGGTGAAAATCAATGAATCGCGGCAACTCCCCACCCATACACCTCTATCTCTTTCTCACTTCCTCGTTCTTTTTCTCTCAGCCGCATACTCGTTCGCATCGAGATTCCTTGTATTCATCTCCGCGGTAAGGAAGCATCGGAAAGGCCATAGGCTTTTCTCTTCCTCTTTCTCTTTCTTTCTCTGTTTCGATCGATCGCTCGCCCGCTCGCTCTCTTTCTCTCTTTCTCTCTTTCTCTCTTTCTCTCTCTCTCTCTCTCTCTCTCTCTCTCTCTCTCTCTCTCTCTCGCACACTCGAACCGGCAACATGGCCGCCTTTTGCCGCCGCTCGCGTCGCCCCCGCGCTCGTCGCTCGCGCTCGGTGTAATAAAGCCGCCGCCCTGCCACACTGACCTTGGTTTTTTCGAAGGGTTTCCGTACTTTATTATAGAGACACTGGACACACTTCGTTTCTCGTACAAACGTCTCTTCTTCGCTTCACTTGTCTTTAAAACGCGCACACAAAAGCTGCCTCGCCGCTCTACTCTCTCTTCCTCTCCTCCTCGTCGTCGGTCGGTCGGTCGGCTCACACAGTCAGTCAGTCACTCGGACAACGTACCACACGGCCAGCACGTTCACACGCAACTGACGTGCGCGCGCCCCAGAGGAAGTCGAGCCCCCACGCCGCATCACACAACGCACCAACACACGCCGGATGCGACGCCATCGATGAGACCTCCCTAACTGTTCCTACTTTCCTTTCATTGTTTCGTGTGCCTACGTTGATAAGCCAGTCCATTAATTAAGAATCATTATCAAGAATTCTAAAATCATCGGTTCGCCGAGTAAACGGTTTGGATTTATTCAAGGATTTAACAATTACGATTTTTCAAATGTTGCCTGTAGGATGCGCGCGCAACGGCGTGAATATGTGTGCGTGAGCAAGTTTCGACTTAGGTTTTTCCGAAGATTTTCAACGTGAAGAACTAACAATCCCAACAAGCCAATTTTGAAAAACCATAAAAAATATATTGATGTATCGAAAAAATGCTAATCCTTGCGTATTCACGACGATTTTCATTGTTAAAAGCTGATTTCCAGATAAATGCGCAGCATGTGCGTGCGGCCCATATATTCGCGTGTGCTAGTGACACCTTACGGTGGCGGATCACACGCACATAGGAATTGCAGGCTACGCGGGAAATTTTAAATAATAAAGAAAAGACTATTCAAGAAATAGACTGTTCTTTTATTCGCGTATAATACGTAAAAAATTAGGTGTGATAAGGTACTAAAATAATTAACTTGATTGTCATGATGCCTATAGGCATATATATATATATATAAGAATGCTCAACGCATATAAAAAATAACAAAAAATATAGTTTAATACGATATTACATGGCCGACACTTTTGTAGGATAGTATTTACATAATTGACTTAAAAAAGCTCGACTCCTCACTTCTTCCGCGCCTCGAACGCTATTTTCCACACTTCGAATATAAAGTCCTTGGAGAAGTCGAAAGCGTCGGGCATTGAGCTGTCGATTGCTTTGGCGAGATCCATGCTGTTTATTTTGTTCTGCGCGATTTCCCATAACCGCCTCGCTGCAATACCAATGGTCATGGATTTTACATAGTTGGCACTGATAGCTTAAAATATTTTTTCAAAAAAGGTATTTAAAACTAGTGAAGATATTTGTTATCGTTTGGAATCTTACCGAGAACGGTGTCACTTATACTCATGTAAATTTCTAGAGCGTTGTTGATTTTCTCGATTTTTTCCAATGTCTTGTCATCCTCGTTCTGTAAAACAACATAAAAAAGAAAAAATTGTAATATCTTGCCATTATTAAATATCAATATTGGACATATACTTTTTGAAGTATATATACTATTATATTTATTATTTCAAAAGTATATATATTTTGTACATTAAATATATGCTTTGCTAATATAAACGTCAATCAAGTAGTATTTTTCACAAAGCCGAACAAGTAAAAAAGTCTGACAGTAGGCCATTCGTAAAAAGTTTGGTTGATAAATTGAACATTTAAAAATTGCTATTGTATATGGAAGCTCTTAAAGAAGCCAATCCACAACTGATTGAGGAAGCCTGAGCAAGATATGGAGTGGTAATGAATAAATATAGGCAAAGTTGGCGCTCACCAGCTGTTCGATTCTCGCCATGCCATCTGCTCTGAACCTAAGCGTCTCCCTACCGCTGCCGTAGCCAGCGAATTTGCTTCTGCTCCTCGGAACACCGTGCCTGGGTCCAATAAGGCCGAAGCCGCTGCGACTCAGCGGCTCGACGAGTCTGAGCACGAGCCCGGCGCCGCGTTCGATGTCTTTAAGCATACGCGCGACCTCGTAGTGCCGGTTCCCGACCAGACTCGCGCCGTTGAGCTTCTCGATATGGTCGCCCACTTGCACGATACCGAGGCGGTCCATTATCGAATGCTTCTTGATGCGCTTGATGAAGACGCGTCCAGCGCCGTTATCCGTCAACGTCAGTCCGAGTGCCTCCTCGCTTTTGATCAGCTCGACCTCTTTCGGCCGACCTGCGCTCAATGTGAAAGAGCACATCGTAGTAAGTGATCGATCGTTCGCTCGGAGCAGAGGCAAGTTTCAGGTGCAGTCGTCCTTGGCTCGCGCTCGCGCGGATGGCGATGCGACTCCGAGCGCTTCGCCTCGCCTTCTCCGAATCATGTAATTTATAGAGGATCTCGCAGGCAAACTGAAGCGCGAATGACTGAGCGCGCGCGATCGAATTGCAGATTCGTTCAATTTGTCACTTGTCCCACGCGCAATACATTCCAACTAATGGCCATTCTACCGAGGTGTTAATTGTCACTTAAAATACTCAGCCCCCAGTTCGCGCTGCCAATTGGAATCATCGACGACGATGATTCAGCGCGAAAGGGCGCTGACGCGGCGTTAATTGGCAAATCGGTTACCTTTTATGTGCGCGAATATGAAATCGTCCAGGCCGATTTGTCCGCCGACCAACTCCGACATCTCGATCGTGTGGGTGTTGAGCGTGCAGAATAAAACCTGCAAGTTGAAAGTAACCAGTCAAAATTCCATGATATTTGTGTATTCTCGGCTGTTTTCTGGGATTTCCTCCGATTTCATTTGATTGCCACGAATAATAAATCATTTCTCGCGAACAATTGGAACAATCTAATTGATCGCATAAGAAAACAGACGAAAGCATCTGAAAATAAGCCGAAATTCATTGGTACATGTGTTTGGCATATCTGCTCTAAAATACCCTAAACAATTCCAGCGAAGAGCTTTCTCGTTGTTCTGCATGATTATTCGCATCGACACTCAACTTTCTTATGATATCAGTCGCATTATTTTTTCATAAATAATTATTTATTATTCAATCAAATCATATTGGAGGAAATTTCTTCAAATGGCTAGCAATTGTTTAAAATCACAAAATTGACAATTAAAATATTGATATTTCAACGACAAGTTTGCCCGCAATTAAACAATTTTGATTATTGCAATTGTATTTGAAGGTGAAAGGGGCATGCAGATTACTCGTAGAACACAGGCGAAACAAGCGAATCCATCTAAATTGAAAGCCATGTTCTTTAATTTTGAGCATTTTCTAGGGCTGTCTAGGGATCTGAGGATGGTTGCGAGGGTGGTTTATAAACGTCGAAGCCGAGGATAACAAAGAGACGCATTCCTATTTATAAGGTTTCAAATAGTTGTCGCGCGAAGCTCCAATTCAACGAAGACCACGCTGACGATTTAGCAAATTTTCATTCTGCGACTAAGTAAACACAGCGCTTTTCGGCCGCTGGTTTGATCGAAGCGCGATGCATTAGCTATACGCCTGAATTTATATGAAAGTACTCGAGCGCAACCCAGCAGCATCCAATGAACCGCAAAACATACGCGCGCGTGCCATTCGATTAGGCCGTCGCGCAGCGTGAAAACAAGTGGCACATCGCAAGCGCAAACGCGAGACTTGGAAATGCCATCGACAAAGGCGTCAAACGGTGCGTGACCGTTGGGCTTCCGGCATCCGGCATCCGGCGTTAATTGCACGGCAAAAGCGGGGAAACAAGTGCTCCGAGTACTCCGTGACGGTGACACGAAAGCCGCGGAGAAAACTCACGCTACGAGCTACGAGATGTGCGAAAGTCAAGTTCGATTTCTAACGAATCTCCGATTGTCCACGCGGCGCGGCGACAAAACAACTCGAGCGCTTCGCGGAGAAAGCGCAAACAGTCTGCCAGATTCGCGCGTCGCTTCTCAGCGTTGGCTCGTTTCTCGTAAAACTTGCTCGAGATAATGCAAGTGTGACATTGAGCGATTCCAAATCAGTATCAGTAGCGGATGGAATTTTGTCGGCGGATTAACGATAATGGACAAACGCAATCGACAGTGCGTATGCGTCAGCTTGACTATCACTACCGGCATGGCTTTCTTTCCTCGAGCAAAGGAGCTCCGAATCGCATGGAATGTTTTCGATCGAACGAAGAGTAGAAGCAAAGTTGTTGTAGCCCACAGTAACGGCCGCCCGACGCAGAAACGATTGAGCTGCGCTCGGCCACTCTCGCGATGCGTCCCGTTGCACAATCAAACGGCGCTGCTCGGAAGGGCTTTTAGTTTTTTAAACTCATGGCACTAACGTCCTCCGGCCGAATATCGAAGCACTCGGCGATCTTGAAGTACAGCTCGTCGACGTTGCCGAAGCCAGAGATGAGTCCCGTGTGGCTGCCGTGCGCCAATTGGCAGTAAAAGGCCAACTGCGGCGACTGCTGCTGCTGCTGCTGCTGCTGCTGTTGCTGCTGCTGCTGCTGCTGCTGCTGCTGCTGTTGACAACGGTTATGATGGCTGCTCGAAATAATTTGCTTCTGCTGCTTGGCCAGCTTCTCCGACGCGCGTAGCGCCTTGAAGAACGGCATTTCCTTATTGTGCGCTCGAGAGACTGCAAAAAATAGGCACGAGGGAGTTGCTCGTTGTAGCTGCCTTGCTGTTTTTCTGGAATGCCAGCGGACGAATTCTTTGCTTCGAGAGTTGCTAAAACGCTCGCGAAGCAAAGTGGATCTTTCATTTTTTTTTTGCTCATTGTAGTCTCGAGAGAATGATATACGCTTGGTTGTGCGAAATCCCTGGCTTCTAGGCTACTTTTAATAAATATGCTTTCATGCGAATTAAGCTGATTTTTTAAACGAGCCATGCTAATGTTTTACTGGCAAAATTCTTAAGGAGAAGGTAAAAAGAAAGTTGATCGGCACATAGAAGCCGTGAATATTCGAGAGTAGTAATATGATATTAGGTGTAATGCCGCTTGTCGGACTACAATCTAGTGTGAGGCGAGCAAAAACTTTTTCACGTCCGTAATTTGGCGAATTTTACAGAAGCTTCAATCAAAGCGCGTTTTGACATTGCAGAAATTAAATTCAATTTCTAACTGAAAAATTCCTCGTGGTCTCGACTTAGAAAGTGACAGTACGCATTAAACGATTATGCCGCGACTATCAAGTCTTACAATCATGTACGTACAGTTAGTTAAAGCTCCGTCATCGCTTCTTCCGTCCGAAACCTACCACGGCAATATTTTGGTGTTCTTTCCAAGTGTCACCGAGCCTTTCCGGCGTTTCTACTAATCCGCAAAAAAACCTTGTGGAGAAAGTCTCTCAGTGTCGAAGAACAATACTTCCCTGTAAAGGCGCATCGCGAGACGATGGTCAGCGCACTTACGTAACGCAATGAGAGAGGCAGAGAGAGAGAGAAGCGTTAAATTTGTCTTCGCGGCGAACGACTGCAGAGGCATAGGTAAATGATTTTCTCAAGCATAACGTGACTCATTAAAATACCAAAGCGCGCGCGCAAAATTACATAAGCACGCACACGTCCACGCGAAAATTTCATCAATCGGTAAGAGATGCGAGAGAAGAAAAACAGGCTTCGAAATATAGACGTGTGCGTAGTCAACGGATACGATAAGACGATTAGAATGGAAAAGAAAAAAACGTGTAGGAAACGTGGCGAGCGAATCGATACTTTTGTATGATTTAGATTCGACACGACTATATATTATATTCTAATTTGTTTTAGACCAGATGGAACTTGGTATTGTTCTGTGTGCTCGTTGACGACGTTATTCGGTCGTTAAGTCTACATTAACGTTGTAAGCGCTGAAAAACCGTAAGGTATTTCTTGATTGTTTTCGAAGAGAATTTTTTCAGCTAGATTGCGACCGCGACTACGTTTCATCCTTCTTCAACGGTTACTACAATGATTTTTAGAACAAAACTGCTACCGTGCTAACGCCACACATGTGCGCGTGTGCAGTGATTTCCAAAGGAATGTTGCGCGTGCATTCTAATAACTCAATCAACTGCTTTCACGCGCCAACAGTCCGCGAAACCAACGATGATCAACTCGCAATCAACTCTCGAAATCGACTCTGTCACTCGCGGAAATACGTTCTGCGTGTGACAGACAATGCCCGGGACAAGATAGCTGGCCGGTTGAAACGCGCTGAGGTCAAAGAATAAAGCATGTATGTAGTGCGAAAGAAACAATCTCATGAAAATTGGTGCAGTCGCTCAGGCTTTTCTCTACCTTGATAATTCCCAGCTCTCCTCTTTCCTCTTAATCTTTTCACTGTGTTCACATATTTTGTCCAAGTTGCAGTCTTGAGTAACGGAAAGAATCCAAAAATGAAAACTATGAAATACACATGCGTGTAAATGCCCGTTTGTTGACGTCAAGAAGCTGCACAACACGCTCGCTCGCGCGCGTGTTTGAGCTGTTGCGCGCGCGAGACACGACTGAGGAGTATACAAAATGTGAAAGAGAGAGGCTGCCTGTATAGCCTTCAGCGATACAGGCAGTGCCGTAGAAACAGCCGCCGTCAGAATCACTCTAAGCATTTTCTTTCAGTTTTCAACATGTTCCTTTCGGCTTTATTTTTCTCTTCTTATCATATAGTACAGGATATATTTAAGAGATGTGCAAATACAATACTGCACCATACAAAACATTATTAAATGTATTATACTCATTTCAGTCGGCCGTTCTCCACGATTATCAAAAATCTCTACTATACATTATATTACACTGTCATCAACATTTCGGCTAAAATTATCTTACCAGTTCAATACAAAAGGTCTCAATAGAGAGTGTATAAAAAATGAGGTGCAATCAAGCACTAATATATAATATTCAGATCGAACGCGTTTAAGAATTTACAATTTTCTTTTTAAAATTCATTCATACACATTTTTCTCTTAAACTTTTTAAGAAAGCTAATATGTCTTAAATAATAATTATTTACCTATCTGATGGCATCAACGATTAATAAATGTTACAATTTACAATATTTTCCAGTTTTTGATTTCTGCTTCTTAATCATTATCCTCCTGGTAATAATTCATAGTGAGAGCAGACTTGTCCAAATTTAACTCTGGCCTAATAATAAACACTTTCCACACAATGGAACACTTTGATGCACTCTCCTGAGTAACAAAGTCCTTCATCTGAAAAAGCAAACGTTCATATGGATCTGTGTCAAGTTGATATTGACTCATTGCTTGATACACTGCATAGAATGGAGGCTGCTTCTTGTTGTGGAATACACCTCTGGAACCATGAAGGATGATAGCACCATCTTTCAGGGCTCGGTTGCAGACTGGCCCATACATACAATGATCAGGTCTGTAGTTGTAGCGGCAGTCAAAGATGTATAGATTTTCTGGATGGAAGTGAAAGAAGATATTGATGATGTCCTGGTCCCCCCAAGTGATCTTATTTTTAAACTCTCTAAGGATTGGTTCCAGGTATTGAGTCCATCTTGTTTCCCTCATCCTTGTAAGATTCATTAGCATGACGCCGGAATTAATTCCCACAGGGAGAACATAGGGATGTTTTGCAAACCTAGGGTACCAACAAGTATTTGAATCTTCACATTCTTTGACCAGTGCTGCAAATTGATCCCTATTCATGGACCTGAACACTTTCCAGACTTTTTCAGGCTGTGTGAGGAATAGTGTATCTGTATCGACATACAGAATAGAGTCGGTATCGTTCAAAATATCCTACAACAGAAACAAAGATTAATTCAACTTTTCTAAACAAACTTTGAATAACATTACGATAATATAATAAGTAAAATTTACAGGAAGGAAGAGTCTGAGAGAAGCACAAGGTTTGAAAAGACTCTTCCACTCATTTTCATCAATATAATTTGGATAAGTTACAGGTCTGATAACGAAATCAAAAGTCTTATTACTAGTCTCGAGAATAATCTGCTTCCATTCGTCGAGCTTTTCATGAAAAGCAGGAATAAGCTTGTATTCCGTTATAACAATGATCTTGAGTGGTTTTTTAGCATACACCAGAGCAGACTTGATCATTACTAGAGTCTCGTCGAGCTTTTCTTTGCCGCAGGCGACGACGCATATGACAGTTACCTCGGGCTTAGGTTTTATGGGCATCTTCATTGTGGTAGCCACCGCGAGATTATTGGAAATCCATTGTATGGACGTTATATCTTCAAACACATTGTAAACAGCACTGTCGTGTTTTCTTCCACTACATATGTAGATGATAAAACAGACAAATGAAAGAACTGCAACAATACAAGCCCAAGCCCTGGTCTTCATCGTTCTACGTGGCCCGTTCCAATACTCTTGGACGGTCCTCATCTTGACGCTTCAGCTGTGTCGCACATGCTGCCACGATTCTCTTCGATTGAACTTTCGCGTAAAAATTTAAAACATTACCTTTGGCTTGGGCTTTGTACCTCAACACTTTTCAGAACTTACTTTTGTTTACGTTTCACGTAGGACAACCTTGGCGCGAGAACACACGTATGTACATACGTTGCACACATACAGGTATAGCTAGGTATGGCCCTATCTGAATCTGACGAATGCGATTGCCCCGCACTCGCTCGTCAAGTCGCCACAGCTTTCCTAGACTGCGCGCGCAACACCATAGCGTTCAGATGACGTTATAAACTGCTAATTTATACGGAACCGCGGTTTCTGTAAAGATGGGTTTTGCCAAAAGTTACGCGCGTTCGTTCGCTTTTTTATTGCTACTCGACAACATGATGGGCTGAAACGAGTTTGCTGTGAGCTTTGAAAAAAAAATTTTATACTCTACTAGTTTTTTCATGTAGGCAGGAACGTATAAAATTTATAGTCACGTTGAATTGTCTTTATGAAGATTTGTGCAGAGATTTCAAGCTTAAAAGTAGATAGCAATAAAAACAAATATTTTTTTGGAAACATATATGTGCAATTACCTAGCTGAACAGGCTAGAGCAATATTTTAAAACGTAAGCTGAGACCAGAAGGGAATAAGAGATCAATAACAAATGCAAATCACCATTTTAAATCGTGTATTGTTTTCTAAATCATCACTTGTATCGCACAAGATATTCTAATTCAATCATGACATGTTAAACTGTCGCTCATTCAGCATGAAATTTGTTCGTTTTTTTAAAGTCCTATGTTCGTTTAAGACAGTATACTCATTATTCAGACGATTGACACAAACGTATAAAAATCAGAAAATACCAATAGTTTTTTTGTTTGTTTAGTTTTCACACAGTTAACTACAATCCACTATCAAAGTAAATATCATTTATATATGTATAATCGCGTTACAATTGTATTCAGCTCCATTCATCATGAATCCCATCGATATATTACTAAAAACAATTTTTTTTCTTGGAAGAAAAGAAACTTTCGCTCTTCGACATAACTGGATCTTTTCCCAAGATATTGAAAGTAAGTACAGTGTGAAAATATTCTCTGACAGTTTTGCTTATTTATAGAAAATTTCACGGTGAGATTTTTTCTTCAAAAAAATTGATAAATCCTCGTCGAAGAGCAAAAAGCTTTTCATTTTCGGCTATTCATACACTTACTTTAGCGCAGCGCGAAAGGGAAAAATAAGAATTTTTATGAGTGTGATAAATTCATTCGGAAAACGCCGCTTAATTATTGTTCATCCTATGTCTGATCGGTCAATCTTTGGTTGCAATACTTCAGCTTCTTCGTCACTCTTTCTTTTTCTTACACTGCGAGCGTACTAACAAAAAAGAATAGAGAAAGTGAAGGAGGCAAGAATTATTTTTTTTTTCTCGATTAAATTATCACAGCTCAATCGATCGCAACAATACAACTCGGCGTGTTGAAGTACATTTCAACGTTGTTTCTATTTTGTGCGCTAATTTACTTGTTATCTTATTTTTTTTTTCGTTGAACAATTATTGAAATTTTAGAACCAACCACGACAAAAGATACATACAACTCAATTTTCCTACAACAATGGAGTTTTTCCGATGCAGAACATTGTATGCCTATCAATGAAAATTATTTAGTACGTATTTTTTGCTTGAGTTATCAATTAAGCTTGAATATTATATAATTAAATCGATTCCTACACTCAAATATTACCGTCGCATAAAAAGGTTTACTCCACGAAAATGCGAAAATGTTGTAGTCGGTCGATCATCGTGATATAAAGGGCGCTCACTCTTCTTCTCGTAACGACATATACTCCACAGAACGAAATTGCCTTCTCTTTCTTTTTTTTCACTCGGCGCAAATGATACACGTGTAGGCATGTACTTATATTAACGTTCGTTTCTTCTTTCTGTTCGCTTTTTGATTTGCCAGTGCACCTGTCCGTTATACATTATATACGTGTGCACGTGAACAAAGAGATCAAGCATTAGTTTTTGCAAAAGATGAACACAAAGCCTGTGTATGTATCATATACGCAGATATGTGATGCTAGTCTAATCGAATGTCAAAATAAAAATAAATAAATATCATAAATCTGTTTTGCCCGATTACGGTCTACGGAAAATCTTTAATGCCCGCCTAAAAAGTAAATTTCCTTATTGCGATTGCATACGGTGATGGTTTTGATTTGACTATAAAATAATTATTGCGCAAGAGCTGTAAAAGCTATAATCTTGTACAAAAAACGAAAAGCATGCGGGAGGCTTACATCTTTTTGCATACATACAGACACATGGAACATTGAAAAATTTGTCGTGTATATATCGTGATGCAGTCGACATGATTATACAGAATATAAATACGTGTGCGGCTTACAGATCAATTCAAACGTAGCTATCTTTGTGTATTATACATGTATGTATACGCAAAGTCTGATTATTATGGTTCGTCGGTTTATACTTATTAATCGAACTTACAAATGAATAATATTAGTGTGTCGTGTGAGTTACGCGCTAATAATTTTCAATGATAAGCATCGATAGAATAGGTTTTGGTTATATTTACGCGACAATTCTATTGTGCTTTACAATAATACAACAAAAGATACGTTGCAAAATCAGTCGATGCTTATGAATGCTTCATAAATTACCTATTTACCAAATAAAAAAAGTGACGATATAAAGAAAGAGATCTTTCACTTCATATACTTGCTTGCTACGATATACTTTCAGTTTCGCTCTCTATCTACTTCTTCTTCTTTCTTGCTTATTGAACATGTAAACAAGTACCAACAATCGAGATAAAGTACAATCAAACACAGAATTACGTGCGCCTCTTGTGAGTTTAATCCCTCATCAATGTTCAAGTATAAAATGTTAGCTCTTTAAAATACGTACTTTCGTAAATAAACATTTATTAGAAATTCTATATGAGAAATAAGCCTCGTATGCTTAAGGTATAAGCTCTTATAAGGTACAATATTTTTTAAGACAAAACGACGAACATTTTTCAATAATTGTAAAAAAGCAGTCGAATTTTCCAGAAATGCTAAGCGAACGATAAACTATACTTTATTTCATTTATTTTGATAATAATAATATTTTCCCGGTCCGGCACTTATTCCACAGAGATAAGCGGCTTGGAAAATTGAGATATGTTAATCATGAAGGCTGTTCCGACAGCTTCTGCGTTAAAATTGATCCACAAAAACGAGAAATATGTTTTTTTGTTCGTTTATTTTCTTTTATTTTGGTGATTGTCTAAAATTTGCGAAAAATTGCATGACACGATGGTTTAATTAAACTATCATTTTTGTTAAAAGCTAAAAATTGCACGGCTTCGTTACATGTTTTCCTATATAAAAATGATCGTTCAATTGTATTGGACGACGTACAAGTCACCCTTGCAAAAATATACCTATCCAAATCTTAATTCATTGGACGGATGCAGGGTGATCATTACGAAATTGCATAATGTCGGTCGGTTTTTTTTATCTGCTTTACTTTTAATTACGATATTTAAGTTAAGGAGCATTTTTTGTTATGTTTTGCGATGAGATATGAAGCTTCGACTAAGAACTTTTGAGATCATGCGGCGGAAGCTGTCGTCCAAGTCCCAGTGCTTCGAGACGAAAAATTACACATACTAAGTTTCTAAAAGTCAATTAAACGCGCGACTATGAGCGGATAAATGCGATTTCATACATGATTTGGCGTGATTATTTTTTGTCTGTAGTTTATATACCCTATTTGGCACTTAACGATGCAGGCATGATACAACAGAAGTGCCATCATAGTTTCATCAAATATTTTAGTGCAGGTATGTGAAAGAATAAATTCAGCTCTCGCGATAATACAAAAAATTCCGTGAAAATTGCATGGTAGTTTATACATAGTTTGTACCATAGCCATTGCTATTTTCATACTAATCATTCTAAAAACAAAAGAAAAACAAAAAATATTCTGAGAATCAAAAACTCATTTGTCGACATATTACGCATGAATAGAGCACCACAACAAAAATATTAAAATAATTCACATGGAAGATAAAATAAATTATATCAATGACATGAACATCAAATTAATTACATGCAAATAAATAGAACTCGTAATAAAATCGTTACATGAAACAAACAACCATATCGCACAATGACTACCGCGATTTTTATTTTCTTTACGTATGTATGTATACGTACGCAACTTATTTTCTGAGGAATGTTGCTTTAGACAAAAAGATTTTAATCTATTCAAGATCAAAAATTAGGCAGTTTTTTTTAAGCTAGCAATTTGGTCGCTCGAAAACAATTTCTACATTTAGTGCTTAATTGCTCTTAATAATAATACGGGTATTTTGTATTTTTCTCGTTTTGTAGCTAGACGTTTATCGCTCTTAAAAAATGTTCATTTTAAAAAACAGAAAATCCTACATTGTACCTTGCATTATATAATGTATAGAATCAAATATTTTAATACTTGTTGAGTGAGACTCCTTGATAAGACTATCATGTTAATCCAAATCCTCGCCTAATAACGTAAGTAAATCAGTTCTTGTAATGTGCAACTCACTGAAAAATGCATATTTATTACACATCTTCCAGGGCCAAGTTGATTGCAACTCTTTGTGTGTTGCAATGCAGGTGTCACTAAAGTTGAATCTTGCAGTTCAGAGTGTTTTGGCTTTCTCTAATAAATCATTTATAAATTTCTGAAAATTTTTACAACAGTTAATGATGAAGCATTCATATATGCAGATACCAAAATAATCTATTAAGTAATGGTTTTGTAAATTTTACCTTGACATCATGAGGTGGTTTCTTGGCATCAACAAGCAATGCCTGGAATGTAAATAGTAAAGAAAATTCCATGAAAACTTAAAATACATTGCATATAAATACTTTGATTAATCAAGATAATCTATCAACTCACTTGTAAATAACTCTTTCTGTGCTCATCACTATCCATGTCAAGGAGCTCATCAATATCTACTTCAACTTCTCTACTGTTTCCATTCTCATTCTATAATCCAAAGAATTATCTTTTAAATTTGTCAACATTCTAAATATAACATTGGCTACTTCCTTCAACTTTTAAACATACCACAGTCTCATACAGTTTTTGAAGTTCTTCAAAAAGCCACATTTCTACGGCAAGCCTTTTGCGAATCAGAGACATTTGATGTGATCCATACTTAGCAGTCAAAAACTTCTCTCTCTTCTCCTTTACCTCACCTTTCTCCGTAAATGCCACATGTAAGTTTGCACGAGCTGGACTACGCTCTGCTGTCAATACCCCTCCAGCTTCCATTTTTATGTATCTATCAAATATCTAGAAGAATACTTTTAAATGAATTTTTATTTCTAGACAGTTATTTGAAGTTTAAATTCAGAATGTTATAAATAACTTGAATGTATCAAATTTCAAAACGAGAAACATGCTGCAACTTGATTAATATTATTAAAATTGGACTTGTATATAGTAGGAAAATAATTGCATTTGATAATTTATTTTGTATACTGTACCTTTGTATGAAAAAGACAACATATATATATTTAAAAACTTTTACAGTATAGTGAGAACAAAGAAAATAAGAGCTTGTTGACATATTTGTCTCGATTCAATACTCCCCTAAGTGAACCACAGGGTCTTATAAAAAGAAAGCTTTCCAAGCTCAAGAGCTTACAGGCAGTAACAATAAATCAAAATTGCTCTTACATGGTCTTACAACTTCTTTTTCTCATAGCTTTTCAAGACCTTTTGTCACAACTCTGTACAGTAGACTAGTTAAGTATACAAAGTCTAATAAATAATTTATAAAAAAAAGCGGATATAAAAATTACTGCACAGTGATTCACTTGTTTGTGGTAGTCACGTCACGATAAAAAACAAAACACAATAGAAAGCTACGTGTGTAGAAAATTGAAGTCTAGTTATAAAATGAATGAATGCTAAACGTAGAAACGCATAAAATCGTGTAATCACAAGCTTTGCCACTAAAATTACGAAAGCGTATTTCCGATAACTGTCAGTGCTGGCAAGTCATCATTAAATGCCAAAAATAAAAAGTTGCTCTCTTGCGCTCGCGATAACGTACAAGCAGAATAAACGTCAAAAAAATAGCGTAATTATTTTCTTGTCCCGAATATTTATAGAAGACGAAAAAAAAGCTAGAGAACGTGAAACAACCGTTAACAAGTTTATCTCCTGCGTGAGATTAATGTTAAAGGTAAGCTGGCGGCGGTGGAACAAAGGGCATCCGACAGTGAGAGAGGAGAGAGAAATGCACGGGCGTCGTGTGTGGCAGCAGCACGAAAATGTTAATGATACCCCCCCCCCGCCCTATTCGCATATTTAATGTTTTTTTATAGCACTCGTCTGCGTGTGTACTCACTCGGTCAACGCACTTTCACAACGGCGACAATGATGCTGCGCTGTTTTGTTCCGAAATAAAAAAAAAGAGAGAGAAGAGAGGATTGCCACAGAAGAGCCTGACTCTACGGTGCGAAAGCGGTCAATGCGCGACACAACTGAGCACTGAACAGTGAGCTCTTCCTCAACGCAAAGTAGCTAGCTTTTCCTTCTTTCTTTTTTTTGTTCTGCTCTGTGCTCGTATGTTATGCAGACGCCCTAGAGGGCGCTTACATAACATGCAGGTTTTTTTTGTTTTATTGTCAATCACAATATATACTCGAATTTCTGCCAGCTTTCGTAGATAATACAGGATTATATTTTGCCATTAGTTACCTCAAATGATTAACGTTTTAAAAATTGTTCTGTAAAAGTTTGGAAAATTCGAATTTTTACGGAGCAGACGATAAGTCGAGCGTCGAAGATCGATTGTTGAAACCAAACGACTTTCGAGCATACGGCGAGAGTTGTACAAGAAACCATAACCTCAAATTTTTCCATTTCGAAACTTACGAGGATACATTTAAGCAATTTATTTTACAATCAATTTTGCAAATAAATAAACAAATGGCTAACGTTAAGAAATTCATTCGAAACGTCTACTACGACTCATTCAAGTGGTAAGTTAAACTGTTAGTTGATGTCGTATTTTAATTAACATTTGTTTAAATATAAATTATAATAAAATTATAATAAAGTTGACTTTTTAATTTCATCTTAGTGAATAATAATATAAGTATTTTTTATACTACTTTTCTTTGAAATTGTATAGTTGCGCTATAATATAAGTCTTTGATAATTGCATTAAACACCCGTAACAGTTTTATTGAATCGATGCATTGATTTTTCAGGTCTGTAGTCAAAAGCATAGGAATATTTGCTCTGGGAGTGAAAATAGCCTTGGAGTGTAAGGGGATGGATCTGATGGCAACACCAAATATATGAATAAGTTCACTTGAGACTACTTAATAACTGTAGATGCTCGTGAATTGAAAAATTTTCCTTTTCAATTAAATACTTGCGATGTACATATGACGATAGGCATGTTTCTCCTAAACCCATCCCTTAATTACTTGTTTTCTATTTGTTAAGTTCAAATATGTACTCATAGTTACATTCAGTGTGTTGTGATTATTTTCATGCGAAGGAAAGATATGTAATTTAATTATGAGAAGAAATACAAACAAAATTTTTACAATACTGTGTTTTAAATTAATTATTAACTTAATAATGCTATTTTCAACATTGCACTACAGTTTGTGGGTGGCATGATATATGTATATATTTTTCAGAATGATAAGGAACAGCTGAGCTGGAGAGTTTATAACCTTAATTTCGGACATTTTTGTTGTGTTGTATTGACAGTCTAGTCTTGGATGCATAACTACTATACGAGTATTGTTTGCAATATTTTGTTACGTTTTGTTACATTAAAGAATGTAATAGTTACTACACAATTAACGTGTAGAAATAAGAGTAATTTAAATTGAAAGACTTAATTACAATTTGCTGATGCAATATTTATTAACATTGTATCTCTAATCAAAAGCCTTGTTAGTAAGATCTACTTTGTTAATCATTGTTCTTATATTGGATTGAAATAACACTAAAAGAAGATCATACTAAGTTATCAAAAATGAAGGATGAAGATGAAGCAAACAACTCCAAATCTGAGCTTTCAGGTAAAAAAGAATCAGGAAACTATAAAAGTTAAGACTATTATTTCTTTATACATTTTCTAAATAACTAAATACAATTTCCAGCTGTTGTAGGAGCTCTATTGGATACCCTGAATGATAAAGACGAGACTGTTAATTTATCTGCTATTGAGTCTATTAGAAAAATATCCCAAAAAAATCCTGTTCTTGTTATTCATGCTGCTGTTTACTTTTGGGAGATGCATCGAAAAGTTAATTTTTTTATTTAGAATACTGTTCAACGATATATTATTTTATCAGACCCTATAAATAATATTTATGTCTTGATATTCCTTACTTATCTAGATGTCAGAAACACATCTAATAGCCATTTTGAAAATGATGACAGAGGTTTGCCAAAATTATATAAAAAATTTAGAAGATACTTTAGCAACAACTGTTGCTGATTTAGCATTGGTTGAGCTAACTGGCCATGCCAGTGAACAAGCTTTGCAATTGATTGTAGCTTTGAGTAAAACTCAATGCTCACAAGCTGTGGGAGCATTAATTATAAAGTAGGTTCATATTGATTTTATAAAAATTATGCTATTGTATGACTAAATAATTAATTTTTTTTAGGTTTGAAACAAATGTAACACCATATTATGCAATTATACAAGCTTTAGGAATGATAGCTGAGAAAAACTCTGTAGGAATATTACCTTTTATAAAAGTAACACTAAGTGTTTTAGTGCCACTATTACATGATATGCATGATGACAAATTGAAATTAGCATCCACATTCAGTTAGTATTTCAAGTAGAAAGTACACCTTTCATTAATTAATTGATATTAATGATTATTTTCAGCTTTGGGGAAATTAGCAGATGCAATCAGTGATTGCCTGACAAATGTTGAAGTTATAAACAATACTAGTTTAAGCAAAGATATTTTTTATGATGAACTTTCAATAGCTTTTGATATTTTAATTTATACATGGCTAAGAACTAGCAAAAATTTGAACTTAACAGAGTATATTTTAACATCACTTGCTTCGATTTTAGCCTTATTTCCTAATGCTTATGATGAAAAGGTAATTTCCAAACTTACTCCGACATTGCTTAATCTTTGTAAAAAGCCTACTACAAGATTAGCTGCTGTAAGGTTGGATATTTATTCATAGAATAGTAATGTTTTTTAATTCTGCATGGTAATCTTTGTATTTATTAATTTTAGAGTACTATCATTGATTTTAACTGCATCGACTGATGATGTAAAGGAACTTTTAAAGCCTCATTTGGAACAAATTCATCAAGTTCTTTCAGAAATAGTGAGCATTTCTCCTTTTGATGTAACAAGAGATGTACTACTGGCTCATTATGAAGTTTTACAATGCTTTCGTGCAATAGTATTGTTGTATCCAGAGGAAGCACTGGAAAAGTTAATTGAATTTAAAAAAATGATTTTACGTTATTTTATTTTTCACTATGACATTACCTTTCATTCATTCAATTTCAGAACCCTACAACAATTGAAGTGTGCAAACTCTAATCAACGTTCAAGATCTTTAGTTGTACTTAGGCATCTTATTAATACTTTGCCACCAGAGGTAATTGCAATTTTAGGAGTAGGCGATAATGCAAAAGCTAATTGACTTATTTCGAAAAATGATTTAATTTTATAGGATGAATCAGCTTTACAAAGAATAGCATTGAGTCTTCAAGATTCATTAGGAGACGGTAGTACACGCCAAGTTATAGGCGCTATCGTTGCTTTAGCTGCAAGACCAACATTTCCTCTTCTGCCATCTCAAAGAACTTCGTTCATTAAATTCATGGTAAATTTTTAAATGTCAATCCTGAACTCACTAGATATTTAATTATTAAATTACTTCTAAGGTATTACATTGTGGCTCTAAATCCGAAGAAGGTGAAGCCTGCGAGGAAGCTCTTCACCTTCTCTCGAGTACAGTGGACGGAGCTGAAATTTGGTTGTGGCCATCTTTGATCAAAGCTCTAATGGATCAAACGTACGTAGCTTCAGCAGTTCCAATACTCCGGGCATTATCACCTTTAGCGGTCAAAATAATCCGGGACGAGAACAATCTATCAAATGAGAAAGACTTCCAGAGTATCAAAGTCTTTGGTCGCTGCTTAGAACTTCTTGAAGATGACAAAAAGCGCTTGGCCGTTGTAACCTTCCTCCGATGTGCTGCTCCACTGCTCGGATACCAACTGAAACCTCAATGGGATACTAAACTTCTTAAGTTATCCAAGTTCCTTGAACAGAATACCGAGACTCTGATTGACGCTGAAAAAATTTTGATTTGGGAAGAGAGAATGGTTGAGTTCTTGGAGGAAAGCGTAGCCCTCGAAGGCGACGCTTGGGCATTAAGGCTAGCAGAGGAATTGGTTAAAAAAACTATTACTCCTTCGCTGTCGATTTTTATCGCTGCTGTTGCTAGCAGTGCTGCACATATCACTCTTTTGATTGATCTTGCTAGGACGCACAGTGTTAATGCTACTGGTCAAAGGTAAGGATTCTTAAACTGCACACAGATAGACTTTGGTAGTTTTTTAAGAGTTAACAATTTTAATACTTGGAAAGTATATAATTTCATTTCAAAAATAATATAGTTTTGTTACTTGTACTATTTGCCTGCAATTATAGCCCCGTAGCCGGCGAATACGCACGAGCAGTTGGAATCTGCGCGAAGCATCATCTTGAGACAGTTCTATCACTAATCGAAGAATTCTGTCACGTGGAGGATGCAAGGAAGCAACCAGTGCGCCTACTTGGCCTAGTCAAGGATACAAAAGCTGCAGCAACGAACGAAGCAGCCAAAGCTGGATTACTTAAGTCTTATGCGGAAATTACGCGGAGAGGCGATGCTGCAATTTTATTTCCAGCTTTGGAAAAACACATTTTTCCATGGATCATTCGCCAACTGAATGATTGCAAGGAGATTAGTACTAAGGGAGCTGGATTAATTGCTATAGAACAGGTGATTGTCATCTACATGGGTGTGGTAAAATACGATAAAACTTAATGTGATAATTTTTAATACAGGGAGCTGGAGCTGTGCATCCAAATCGATTGGCTGGTTCGACTGGTTTTAGAGTCAGAGGCAGTGCTCTGGCTACTCTTTTAACATTGCTCCAGTCGACTGCGGGCTACAGACCATTGCAACTTTACCCTTTGATTTTGAAAGCAATTATCGCTTTGCTGTATCCTTTGTCATTAATAAATTATTGCACTACAAATAGCAAACTTTTCGAAAAGGATTCTTAACATTCGTGAATGCAGTAAAGTACCTCCAGCGCTAACTGACGACGAAAAGGTAGTTCTTCTCGAAACTACCATGGACAAAATTATAGCAGCCAGTTCCGAAGTAAAATTCAAAATTATGAACTTAACAATTAAATTTCGAGAAAATAACTAACGTTTACGTATTGTTCAGATCGCAGCAATGAAAATGCCGCAAGTGATGCAGCAAGTGATCGAAGGTCTTGGCACGATAAGCAGCGAAACGGTTGTCGACTCGGCTGACACCTTAGCCGTACTCGTGGACATTCTTTTACCTTGGATGCAATCGAAATCCTCGGCTGAACGTCGCACTACTCTTCTAGTTCTTCGCACGACCCTTCGCTCCTATCATGATTCTCTAAAGTATACTTACCCGGGAGGGAAACTTGAACCAGGAAAATTACTCGGTAGATTTCTTGCCTGGAGTGCTGATCCTGATCTTGCGCTTCGACCGCTGGTCGTCGATTGTGTGTCTCTGGCATTGAATATTGGAGCAAGACATCGATCATCCGTGCCGGATAATTTGAATCATCTGAATCAGGATTTGAGCGAGTCGAAAAGAGTCATCGTTAGCGAGGATACGAAGACGATGTACGAGGGCGTGAAAAGTTTGGCGACGAGTGCCTGTGAGAGGGTAGCTGGAGGCGAACTCGTTAGTCTTGCTGAGGGCTTGGTCGAAGGATTATTGTGCAGAGGAGAGGGTGGCGTTGCTGCGGGTATTGCTCTGACAGAGTTGTTTAAAATTAGAGGATTTGACATTCCACGAGCCAACTTATATTTAATTGGTAATTGCAACTCTTTTGACTGTAGAAAGATGAAAAGATTTTTGTAGCTTGTGGATATGATTTTGCAGATAGCATAATTGCGCAAATGAGACAAATGGAGAATGCGAGTTGCAAGAAAACAGCGGCTGCTGCCGTTAGGGCACTAAGTACGTATCATTTGCAAGAAGTTGTCGAGCATTTGTTGCATCAACCGTTGCCGTTAGATCGCGGATCGAAAGAGTGCTGGAAAGAGTTGGGAAAGGCTGATGACATTGGATCGCAGGTATACTGCTGCTCACAGCGAATATTCACAATAATAAAACAATTCCTAACGGATTCGCAACGTTTTCAGACTTTGGAATTGCTGTTGAAGAAACTGGACAACGACAATCTGCTTGTCGACACCAATTCGCCAACAAATAAACGAGATGCTGACAATAGCAAACGTCCGACTGCGGTTTTCTCGTCCTTAGCAGCGATTGTAGCGACTGGTCAGCTTTTGAGTTCATCAATACCCGAAGATCTAATCAAACGGCAGTTGTCTGAGTTACTCGCTGTTTTGCTGAAGTACTTGGCTGGATGGTTACACGCCGATCCACCGATGTCGATCGTTAGCACTAAGTTTGGTTTTGTACCGAACCGTGAGACCTGCAAAATCGTGCCGCATCAGGAAGTGTATAATGTGCTGGTCAAAATTTTGAATATTATTAGTATTCAAGAAGATCCCAATTTGTCGACTGAAACTGTAAGTATGAATAAAAAAAATTTTGGATGAAGCTGAGCCATCGAAAAGTTTGAGCGAAAGAATCTATTCGATTGTAGGCATTTGAAGCAGAATGTGACGCCGAAGAAAATCTCGTAGCAACGGTTCACACGGTTGTGCAGTGTCTCTCAAAACGCGCCAACGTCTTGGAAAATCTCGCGAGACATTTAGGCAAATTGGCAATGAGTACCCTGCCCGCCCAGAGGGTCGTTGCAGTAGCATTCTACTCGGAATTGATCGGCAAAGTTAATTGTGACGTCGTTTGGCTGGACGCGATTATCAACACTTTACACGAAGCCAAAGCTGACTCGTTTTCGCTAGTTAGGAAATTATCTACTATCGGTCTTACGAGAGTCGCTTATTTAGACTCAAAGCAGGTCGACGAGTACTTCGATAGTTGTCTTGCGTCTCTGTTAAACGGTCTGGAAGAGCCCTTGAATGCTGAAGGTAACAACGAAGTAGTTCTAGAATCTCTACGTGGGCTATCGGTTATCTTGACCGTGAAAACGGAGAAGCCAATAAGTCCACGAGTGGTTTTTACATTAAGGACTTTTGTTGAGAAAGACAGTTGGGAAATGCGGCTTGCCGCAATAAGTGCCTTAGGAGCTGTTGTTCGAAGCTGGCAAAGGTTTGTCCTCTCACCCGACGACGATGTCACTGATCATCTTCTAAGTTGTATTCCTTGTCTGACTATCAAGCTAGAGGATAATGTTCACGCTGTCGTGACGGTGAGTATTTTTCTATTGTTATAGTTGCAATCATTCCATTGTGTTTATCATCAATCAGGCTGCGAGACAAGTGCTGTACGACTCGGCGTATCTTATGCAATGCAAATCACTAGCACATATCTTGAACACGCATCTTGCGCCGAACAGTTCACTGAGTATCGAGAGTTTTTTGAGAGAGTTGATCAACTGCATGAAAACTGATCTACCGCAAAAAGCTGAGGAACTAAGGTGAGATGTTTATAATAATACATTTTATGGAACATTTTCACTATCTAAATACTGTGCCTATTTCACATTTGTTTCATAGAAATGCCGTTGTGAGAGGATACTCACGATCCGAAAATCCAGTGATACGAGCAACGTCAGCCCTAATCTTAGGTTTGTTTGGTGACCCTCGACCAGAAGACGTCCAAAGAATGCTACAACTGTTGCGTGATAAAGAAAACTTTGTCAGAGCTCGTGCTGCTCGAGCTTTGGCTCTGTGTTTTACACTCTGAAATATTCGATAAAAATCGTGCAATATATAGCGGTTGATGAATTTGTAAATTATATATAAATTTTTTTTCTACATAAAATATTACTAAAGTACTTTATATTCTATATAGATGTCTCATATATCTGATGACGATATCAAAATTGAATTCATTAAGCCTCATAGTATTTAAATTGCAATTATACGTACGTAAGAGAGGATTTATAGAGTTTATACAATATATACCAGATTATTATTGTAATATTGATTTGGAAATGTTCGTACATATATTTTATGTAAAACATTTGCAATAAAACTAATATTAATTTGTAAACATTGAATTCTTGAAAATTAAGAAACGTCATTCATCAGACTAGAATAGTTCTTAACATCAGGAAAGTCAAGTAATATATTGACAATAAGAAGATACAAAACGATCTTTTCCGTTTGAGCTGTTAGTGTTTGCATCAAAGTTGGCACCAAACTTCACTATTTAACACAAATATTTTTATTTCGGAAAGTTCCAAAAATATTACAGGGTTTTATACAATAATTTATTTTAAAGTCGATATTACTGTTTATCGGAAGCACAAAAAATACGTCTTAGTAAATTTAGAAATAAATGTAAAAAATATTGTATTATATAAACAACATTTAATAATTTTTACGACCTTATTGATAGTTATTATACTCAACATAAATCGTAACTTAAAAATGAAACATTAGAATCATTCTTAATGAGACTCAGATACATAATTAATTACATACGTAGGTTTAACATATCCCAAAAATTAGAGCTAGCATCGCTCCACAATTCTGCAGTTAAAATCTTGTTTTTATTGCATTTACGCGAAATCAGTTTATAATGTACATGACATGAAAGATTTTTTAATGTGTATGTGTAACTTACCCTGCGTTGGCGCATATACATCGCGAACCGCTTTTCACTAATCAACAATAATTTTAACGCTGTAAATGACACCCACAAAACAATTATTTTTAATCGATCAATTTGCATCTTGTACTCGTAATAATATTAATATTATAAAACTCTTTTAACAACGATTTTTTGAAGAATCATTTCGAAAATCGATTTTCTAGACTTTTCAAGAATTGCAAAAAAGAGCCAAAACTAAAATTGTTATATAAAATAAGATGAAGTCCAAATCACTATCGAAAATTGCATTCTTATCAGAAATTTTTAATTATTTTATTTAGCAATAAGCTACTGATTAACTGATATCAACCACTGACTTATAGAAGAAACTTATGTTTGTAACAATTGTATACAGATATTTACATAAATACTTATAGGTACTACAACTTTAATTTGAAAAAGATAAAAAGTGCTTAATACTAGTAATATAAATACAATATTAAAAATAAAATTAAAATTGATCTTAATTAATTCATCTAGAAGCTTTTATACATTCCTTATTATATCTATTTTTTTAGTTTTTATTTGACAATTTTTTTATTATCATATAAAACTTTTACTTCTTCGGTTAATCTATTAAATATTTTCATTGAAATAATATAACTAATGTTTTCATTTCAAATTAAAAATAGCTTATTCAATAATAAATTTTATAAATACGTTTCCATAACTAATTAGTCTACATATTAGCTAAAACTAAACTGTAACTTTGTACATTATTTATTAATTGAATATAAAAAATCATAGACATTGAAAAAGAAAGGTAAGTAAACTGAAGGAAAACGGGAACGAGATTAAACATTAATTCGTATATTTTACAAATATAAATAATAAGTGAACGTCACGGTTCTTCGATTATAAATAAAAGAATGTTTTAAAATCTCCATATAAATCATCAGTCTTCAGTCACATAAAAGAAGTATCAATGTATGATTTCATTTAGTCTCAGAATTCTACGTCTATTTCAAATTGCATTCTGACATCCGTAACAACTAATCCGACAATAATAAGTATCGGTAATCGAAATCGTGATCTCCAGCCAAGTTTCAGCATGAAAAGCAAAGCCCGATGAAATGTCCCGCCACACCCTAGAAAAGAATGCACTACCATCTCGTACATGGGAAATGAACTATTTGACGCTGCTGAGATGGTGTATATATCTGGCCTGATTCAACAAATAAACATATTTAACATATTTCATTTGAATAACTTTTTTTATCTCTATAAAGTATATTTCCTATAAACTTATGAAACTCAAATGCTCTTTTACAGAGCACTAAAACGACTAGTCACTACCAATGATAAAATACCTCAAATTTTACTGCAATAGGTTAATTCGTTCCTGTCGGAAATCTGTTTTCTACCTGCACCTCCTACCATTTTAGTAATCAATAGGTTTACTATAAAATGTTTTCACTAGTAACAGAACCAGCAACTTTTCACATATGTCATATAAAAAAGGCTCAAGCAGTAATGTCTACAAATTTACGCAAATCCCGTACGCCGAGGTTTGTAAACACCATAAACAAACACACACATGCGCGCGCACGCATTCGCTCGTCTGCATGTGCGCGCAGGCCGCAGAGTAGTGGATTTATGTGTAAAAGTGACATTTATTAAGTGATAGTGATTTAACTGTTAACAGTTAAAAAATTCAACGAGAATTCGATGAAAATTGATCTGGAAGAATTATAGAAAAACTGCGCATGATTGTTAAGGATAGCAGAACTCATTAATAATTACACACAATTGAGATTTTGTTAATAAAAAAATTCGAAAATAAGTTGAAAACTCCCAGATCGATTGAATTTGCGTAGCTTTTTAATTTAGTTTTTATAACTAAAATTGAATGTGTTGAATCGTTAGGAAAAAAAAAATACTTATTATATATATTTTGTAATTACAGTGATACATGCACCTGAATGATCTGTTGGTAACGTAGACTGAACGTAGTGAGGTACACTAGGTACCTGTAATTTCTTCAAATTCATTCTGACTTTCCAGATGATTTCTTGCCAAAGCGTATAACTATAAAGATTATTGTTTTGTTTGGCTTTAGGGGTTTTACAATTATTTGTAAAAGTTATAAATCAAAGTAAATAGAAATAATTAAATGATACATAAATGCTATATATTTATATGTTACTGTCAGAATAAAATATAAAATATATATATTTACAAATGAACAAAAGTTTCTTGACCATATAGCATTGATTTTTTTAGTTTTTTCGTACTCATAATTACTGCGTTCATACAGTAAAGTATCATATACTACCATGCTGCGGCCTTCCGCCTTTACTCATTTTTAAATAAATTATGTATGTACAAGACAAAAAAAAGTAACAGAAACGTTTTAAAAACGATTTGTTGAAATGTTAAAAGCAACAAATATGGCCAAATGAAAAATATTTTTTCAAGAAATGGTTTGATAATTCATATAAATTATAAATTATATGGGTTATTCGGTGATTTGAGTCGGGTTTGACCGTTTGCATATTTTCTATGTTATATTATAAGATTTTAGAGACCATTTTATTATTCACCTAAATAAGGAAGTTTTTTTTTAAATTATAAAAAACGCGGATCAAAAACAAAAGTACGATGAACACCTAAATCGCGTTTGGAGATTGCAATGTATATCTGCAATTACGAGCAAAAGCATTGGGAAAAAATAGATTATCTGTTTAGTGACTTATAGTATATATGTACGTAAGATTTGCAAGTACTCGATGATTGGCACAATCGTAATCATTCGACGAAGAAAAAAATTATCGGTTTCCCGATTCACAGCTGGTATTTTAAAAGTGCGCAGTGAATTTTTAATATAGCTGCAGTGCTGATTGATTGTGATAGTGCTAGATGTTTATAAAGAAACTGTAGTTCAGATTTTAGTTGCTTCATGTTGCCTTGATAGTAGCTGACACGTACAGAAGTTAAATATGAATATCAGTTTTGAAGGCAAGCGTATTCTTGTGACGGGAGCTGGCCAAGGTATCTTATTTTGATTTGCACATTATTTGAAAATCCAAACTGAAACGATAACTTTCAGGTATTGGTAGAGAAACAGCTCTCCGACTTTCGAAATTCCGAGGAACAGTGATTGCACTTTCAAAAACTAAAAAGAACCTCGAGTCGTTGGTTATAGAAGACCCGAAAATTCATACGATTTGTGTCGATGTAGCGAATTGGGACGCTACGAGAACAGCCATCAAAAATGTTTTACCCATCGATTTACTTGTGAATAACGCGGCAATTGCGATTTTGACTTCTTTTCTCGATGTTAAGCCCCAAGATTTCGACCAGATTTTTAATGTTAATTTAAAATCAGTCATAAATATTTCACAAATCGTAGCCGAAGATTTGATTGAACGACAAGTCTCGGGTAGCATCGTTAATGTGTCATCGGTGGCAGCTTTAGTGGCAATCAAAGAACGCGCGATTTATGGTTCCACCAAGGCAGCTTTAGACATGTTGACAAAGTTTGTTATTACAGTTGAATGTGATTTGACTGTTCTTTTACCAAATTGAGAGACTACGTGATAAATTGTTTACAGAGTTATGGCTTTAGAATTGGGGCCTCATAATATACGTGTAAACACTGTCAATCCAACTGTAGTAAAGACAGCCATGGGCCAATCAAATTGGAGTGATCCAGAAAAAGCAGCTACCTTAAGAGCCAAAATTGCCTTAGATCGCTTTGCTGGTATTTATACACTGATTACAAAATGTTCATCTTTTTCACGCACATTATCATTGCACAGATTTCAAGCTAATTTTAAGATAATAATACTGCATTTAAGCTTAGAATTATGCAGTAATTGACACAACTGAATCAATATATTTATTTGTAAAATCTTAATCAGTTGTCTTTATCTATACAGAACCTCACGAAGTGGTCGATGCAATAGTGTTTCTTCTAAGCGATAAAAGCTCGATGACAACAGGTGCTGCAATTACTGTCGATGGGGGATACACGACCCAATAAATAACAAATGTTTTATCATTGAAATTTGTATGATTTGACAATATTTATCCGATTATTGTAATTAGATAACAAAACGATCATAGTCATAAATAAAAACTCATTATAAGTGATAAAGAAATTGGAAAAATCAGTGAACTTGTTTTATAACTTCAACGTTAGATTTTATCTGATGATACACGTAAAAGCTCGATTAACTTTGCTTTCTTTTCATCAAGATATACTGAACTTGATTACAGAATTATGTAAACAGTATAAATATAAAACCGATGAAAATGATTTGAAGTCAATATAATAGCAATGGTAAAGTTAATGGTTCTGTAATAAAGTTACAGAACTTTTATGAAATAAATTATCAAATTTTAATTTGACAAATAAGCCTCACTTTCCACTTTCATAAATTTAAGTTATACCATCTGTGCAAATATTTTCACTACATTGACTATGTCAATATCGAAAAATTACATTATTAAATCGTTACTAACATTGTTTCGGGCATCGTAAGCAAGACGTTAACAGTTAGCGCCAAATAAAACCACTGTAAACATATTTGCAAAGTCGTCCAACACGTTTCTTCCTCGACGAAAGCATAGCCTCATTTGCATGTGCCGAACAAAAAACACCTGCTTCGTTTAACCACGATTCCAATGTGTAACAACAGCACGATCATTTAATGCTCACAAACATCTTGATTTAAGGACTTGTTCAATATAAACTTGTCTTAAAAAGTGGTTGTGAACGAAGTATAGATTCAAGGTCGATTTTTTTTCGATCGAACGTCAATCGAATAAATTTACGCATACTCACTTATAGATGCAATAATCACAGACAAGTAATTTTGACCAAATATCTACGGTGGTTTTTAACCTGGAGAACTTAACCCACTCCCACTTTGACTATCCGCTGCTGACGAATTTGCGTTAACGGATACTTTGGTTGGCCTTAAGTATCTGACTTTATTTTTTTTTCGAATTCCATTCATAACTTGACTAATATTTGAAATGATTTTAATAGATCCATAAATTTAATAGATAGCATTTAAATAAATAGCAATGAAGAACAGTTAGTTGACGTTCTTTCGACAATATACAGCATGTGCAACTTTTACTTATCAGCCAGAAACCTATTAAGAGTTGAAGCTTATCTAAAGCTAAGAGGTGAGCTTAGGGAAATAAATGAATAAAACAAAGAGAAAATCCACGGAAAGTTACACTCAAACAAAAAGTTATGCACCAAAACACGATATTATCCATATAAGTAAAATATTTATTTAGAGGCCTGCAATAGCTCGGTCGGTAGGGTGACGAACTCGCACCCGGTAGGCCCGGGTTCGATTCCCAGTCCCTGCTGATTGATACAAGCACCACTGAAAAAAGTTTCATGTGCTTTGTTCTCAAACACATTGCAAGCCTCTGTCGCTCATTAACACTGATGGAGCATAAATAGAGCGACGTTAAATAAAAAAAAAAAGTAAAATATTTAATGATAGCATTCATTATTTAGTAATAGACTCAGAAAAGCTTCCAAATTATTATATAATAATAAGGTATCAGATATAATCTTTCAGGAATATAAAAAATCTGTTTGTACCATATTCTTCAATGTTTATTAATGTTTCTTTTCAGTAAACTGAAAAATTCGACTATAGAAAGTACGACTCACAAGTGAAGGCCACACACACAGACCACCACAGCGAATTCAGCCACCGATTAATGCGAGAAGCTCAATTTGATGAAAGTAGCGGGAAAAATTTGAGGAAAGTAGCGAGGGTGCAGCTGTGAGACGTAGCACGAGAATTCACCAGCGAAAGCTTGCCCGCTAGATTGCATTGCAGTGGATGGAGGCGCCGATCGCAGCATCAACGGTCAAGCCACCAAAGTATGACAGAGTCGATCTAAGCTTCGTCGTGGATCAAGTGGCCAAATAAAATACAGACAAGCGAACGACCAATTTCCGAATTCAAAGTCCAGAGTTTAGCACGTACGCCTGAAAAGAGAAGAGAGGCGTTCATTCATAACAATCGGTCGGCTTGTGAAATTCAGTGTAGCATGCTAGAGAGGGAGGCCTCGCTACCTCACGATTGAAGCAGCAATCCCGAGCTTTTTCAATCAAGCATAGAGTTCAGGAATTAGCATTGCACTTGCTAGGAATAATAAAATAGTGCATTTGACAATTTAAATGTTTTTATTGATTACATACCCTGTTCTCCTAGCGAGTAAAATCCAATATTATTTAGTTCAGTTTAACGAACTGCTGAAGTTTGAATTTTTTTGGAACAAAAGTTAATTGACTTTTTTAATGTATTTTAGATTGAAGATTACAATTTTTATGTTGGCTCAACTCGAATTACCAACGTAGATATTTTACTTAGCACTACGAAAGATATAATTACAAAATTACTTCTTCCGTGATGCTAGAAAAAAATAATAATTACTAAAGAAAGCAAACACATTTATTGGTTTTTTACAATTATCTTCCTAAATAACAAAAACAATATAAAAAGTTTTATACAAAAACTGTAGGCTTTAAAATGACACGTCGAATTATAAAATCATGATTTGTTGAATGTGATGGTGTAACGCAGAAAACTCAACTGTTTTTTCGCATTTTTCAATATTCACACGGTTATTCCCTCAGATAAAACAATGTGCAGTGTGTTAGTGCGTGGATCTCCACTCTCTCGAAAGTTGTGCTAATATGAAAATCGTAATCATCAGCTTAAAATAAATTAGAAAAGTAAATTAGCACCTTAGCCTAAAAAAATTCGGACTTCGCCAGTTCGTTGACTGGATTATATTAATCTGGAATCCAAGTTTACTCAGCAGTGGTATTAATTTGAATGAAAGTTTGAAGAAATATTTACAAATAATGGAATATTTTTGTATAACGGTTAAAAAGTAAAGATGTTGCTATTTCGTAGATGAGTTATGGGTTTCGATGTATGTTGGATTAATAAAAAAGCTATTCAACGAAAATTGCTGATTCGGTTGTTTTTATTCTCAGTTTTTTTCCTGTAAAAAGCAGAATATCCGATCATATTTTCTTATGTAGGATTAATGATTTTTTATTTTTAATAAAACGTGTTTAAGATTTATATATTTTATGTTACTTCTTTGAAACCTTTATTTTGGAATTCTTTGCTTGAACTTATTCTTTAGGTAAAATGCTAATGAAAGAAAGTAGTGAATATGTTGTATTTTCATGCAGCGAGATAGTGTTTATTTTGTTATCAGTAACTATCCATAGATTCGTAACAATTACAACTGTCTAGGATCACCATCTAAAATTCTGCAGTTTATACATTGTAAAACGCCAGTGCCACAAATCAATCGACGAAAACTTCTATGTTTTATAAAAAAATCGTAAAGTTGCGTGTTTGTCAAATTATTTATTTATTAGTTAATATATGAAAATTATTACTTAATATGTAAAATAGACTATGTTCGTTTAGTTAGATAACGATACTTATAAATGTTGACTTGCATAAAAAGGATGCTTTAGATAGTCATCAATACGGTACATGTGCATTATGAGGTTACATGAAGTTTTGAACAAAAATGAAATATTTATGATTATCTGAATTTGTTAGTGAAAAAGTATGGAATACAGTCAAACAAAACTTTTGCATTATTTAGGATCGTAAATAGCTATAAGACGGTATCAGCTGTTGAGACAGCTGATTGAAATGAAAGTTAATTATATTAACAATTTTATATGTATCGAATGTACACACTTACATAAAATGCAGCAAATTCCTCAAATCATGAAAATACGATTTGCTTTAATCTATATGAATATTTACGTTCTCTGAAAGAAACTATATCTCACTAATGTAATAAATTAATCAAATAAGTTTTTTCCGTTTGGTCTGGAACGTCAAATTTTTTATCAGTTTTCTCATTATTTTTGACGTTATACCTGAACTGTTTTTCGCTGGATGAATATAGATAAACAATACGTTGCTTCTACGTCCAAGGACTCATTCAGCAAGAGCCACTGACTGGGTTTTTTTCGCGTGCAAGCATTTACCGGCCAGATCCGTGCACCAATCGTTCCGCAGTCATCATCCCGTCGCACAAATGACACGACGTACTCTGCAGAACGTTTTTTTGAAATTCTAATTTAATGCAGAATGTACTCAAGTGAATTTATTAAATTATTATAGTCTTTCATATTCGACTTTTATATTTATATTGATTGAAACTGGGCGGTAAGAAGAAAAATTTTTCTTCATACCTCGTTCGAAAGTACGCACATTCTCAGAGCAGCTCGATTATTAACAGTGTTGCTCCATGCCTGTGAGTTTCATGGAAAAATTACCAACAATTTTAATAGTTTTTGTGTGAATGTTGAAAAGTGAGACAAGAAGAAATCTACATTATTCTATAACTAAACGTTTGAAAGTAAATTATCTGAGTATATAAACTAAATCGGTTGATTGAAATAACCAAACGTTTTTATTTATTTAAAATTTAACAATTAACATTCTAATAAATATGATACTTGAAAGCTTTACAGAAATATATTTTCTTTATACTTGTTAATTACTATACAATAAAAAACTTGTTCCGTAAAAATTGAAAAGAGTATTATGCGGTTTTTAATTTTCCTGCATTTTCGATGTTTATTTTGATACCAAACCCGGGCCAGCAACACTCGTTTTGCTCATGCTGCAAATGTTGAGACAGGTATCAAAACGAAGATGAAAATATGACTTGATTTGGATGTGATGAGAGAAAGAAAGAAAATCTGAAACTTGGCGAGTGATCGAGAAAAGCGCTGAGCGAGGAGCAAAAGTTAGGCATAGGTTTTCATCTGGAAGGCAGTAGTGTGTTGTTTTTAGTTATAAATATATTATTAAGCGTACTTTCGACTAGGTATAACGAAAAATAGTATGCATAATATGGGCAGTAACTTGAAGGTCGTGAAATGCACGTGATGATGCCCGAGGCGAAGCTTCCGTATCATCACGCGCAGTGCAGGAACCTCAAGCTTTCGGCCCTCGTAGTGCAATATGTACATTTGTAGAGAACGATCGATAAGTCATCATTTTGTTTTGAAGGACAATGAAAATGATAGAGTAAACAAAATTCATTATGAGCGCCGGAAGTCAATTATAAAGGATTTGCTTAGTTTCTCATATCTTTATTTTATATATATCAGTTTGAAACTGTACTCCGGTGCGAACAGAAGCCATTCGACCAACGAAAATCAACATTTCACACGATGAACATCACTTTTGCCGATCTTAGTTATTCTGTCCGAACTAGTGTGTTTACTAAAGGTTAGTTGAAACATGATCTTGCATTTTACGATTATCGTATATAATTCAAAAAATTTACATTAAAGGTTCAAACATCGTACTTGATTGATGTTTGTAGCTTTTCACAAGAAATGTTTAGAAGTTTGTGACCAGTCCATCATTTTTAACGTGTATAAACGAGTTCATCGAATATTATAATTAAAAGCAAAATGGAATCGACTTTTATGTTGATGCTAACTAGCAGGAGCACAATGTAACAAAACGCTAATGTAATAAAATTTCACCCGAAATTCCCGAACAAAAGAATGCTTTTTGAGATAGCGTTTTATTATCGCGCTCCTACGAGTTAGCATTTTATGCACGGTCAACGTCGAAATTGTATTATTTTTCTTGGCGACGCGCGTCATCAACTTTATGCAATGACATCAAGACACAAGAAATTTAATTGACTCTAATGATACGCGTGCAATGTGAACGTAAAAAATTTGTCGTAATTGTATGTACGTTTGATAGTTTACAACGGACACAATTAATACAGTTTTAGTTTTTCTTTACCTCATTCAACACCATTTTTTTACCAATAAATTTTTTCCGAGCATTTTTGTAGATTTTTATGCGAGAGATTTTAGTATAAGTTTTTTATATTAACCCATTAACGCGCGGAATCGCCTTTTTATGCACCTGGTTACTGACGCACAATTTTAGTAGAAAAAGATGCTCGTTTTCTGACAAAATTCCATATAGGGTATTTTGAGCGTGCTATTTCATAATTCGATATTAGATTTTACATGAAAATGTCAATAACCCTATCGTCTTTGCGTATAAACAAGAAAAAGTTGATTTTGCAACGTTCTTTATATCAATTTTTTTCTTGTTGCTGCTTTTGAACAAGTGTGTTACCCGCAGTTCGGATGTCTATACTCTACGAAACGTTTTAGGAAAATTTTTATTTGCCTACATTTCTAGAAATTGGTAGATTTTTAAATTACGGCATGATAAAAATTCATGATTTTTTTACTCAAAAAGTATTGTACGCAAAAAATTTATTCTGTAACAAATCTTTGAGTTATTCTATAGGATATTCTTCTGGTTTTTTTAATTTTAACCATTTTTGGAGAAATAAAAAATTTTATATATTTTAATACGAAGAAATTGTAAAAATAGTGAATACAGAATTATTTTCCGTTATATGGACGTAGTTCTTGAAGTTACAGTAACAATAACAATATGTATATATAAAAGTATGAAAAAGCGATCTCTTCAACGAAAAATATGAACTTGCGGAAAAATTATATTTCAACAAATATTTAAAATTGATTAAAGAAATGTGAACTAAAGAAAAACTTTCCAAGCAAATTTTTTATTTTTCAGAAAAAAAAGTGAAAATTTTCGCTTCGTTCGATCGGCAATATCACATAGTGCGTAATTTGTCTACTGTCTCTATAGTAGCATAATGTACTATTTCCTACCATCTTGTCAAAAACAAATCAAGCGCAATTACCTAACAAAAAAGTTGGTCAGCTGGCAATCTTGAATTCGAAACAATTTTTTTCGGATACTCTTTTACATTAAAAATGACGCGATTCATTGTCAAGCTAATAATTAAAAGACAGTTAGAAGTTGTAATTGAATCGAAAATTCTAGTTAATCAAATACCACTAACGATTAAATAACTATACACAGACATTCATTCACCAGGTAAAAAACCTACAAGTTAATTTATACTTACAGAAAGAAAGCAGTTATTATCGAATGTCTGTGGCGATTTTCGGTCTGGTGAACTTACCGCTATAATGGGTCCTTCGGGTGCTGGGAAATCCACGTTAATGGATATTTTGGCTGGAATTACGTAAGTTCCTCATTGCTATCTGGCACTGAGTCATATGCGTTATTAATTCGTAAATATCTGCTTAGGACATTGAATGTTACTGGTAGCATCCAAGTCAACGGTATCGAGCGAGATGTAGCAACGTTTCGTCGTTCTTCCGCGTACATTATGCAGGACGACAATTTACAAGTGCTACTCTCTGTTCAGGAGGCTATGGATATTGCTGCTGATCTCAAGCTTGATATTTCAACACATGATAAACAACGAGTGGTAAATGATTAAATGCATCGGGAATCGGTTTAGATAGCTCTTAAACTAATATGTGATTTATTTTAGATAAATGGAATACTCAAAGAACTAGGATTAGACGTAGCTCGACAAACCTTAACGAAATGCCTGAGCGGTGGTCAAAGAAAAAGATTATCTATAGCTTTAGAATTGATAAGTAACCCACCAATAATGTTCCTAGATGAACCCACCAGGTAGTCCTATATTTTATTTATTAATTATCAATCAACACATTGCATGACACATTGTATTATTCTTTAACAGTGGTCTAGATAGCGTAACGTCCCATCAGTGCTTTGAACTGATGAAGTCGTTGGCACGCCAAGGTCGTACGATAGTATGCACCGTTCATCAGCCGAGTGCTATGATTTTTGAAATGATCGACCATCTGTACGTCATTGCTCAAGGTCATTGCGTTTACGCAGGTAGTCCTGCAAATGTTGTCATTTACTTGAAAGGTCTTGGGCTTCGTTGTCCTACTTATCACAATCCAGCTGATTACCGTTAGTTTTTGTTCGTTAAAGAATTTTAATTGTGGTACTCTGAAGGCTCAGATTTATTTTCGTTTCGATAGTTCTGGAAGTAACAAGTGGCGAGCACGGCGACCACCTGACGCAATTGGCGAACACGTCGGCGAATGGTAAACGTCACGAGTGGCGAAAATATTCCGTGATGTCTATCGACCACAAATATGGAAGCACGATAAGTAACGCCATAGGCTCGTGGCGCCAAATAAGCACTCTGATGAGATGTAACGCGACGAAGCTTAGCAGAGACAAGGTAGAGTTGATAATACAAAGATTCGAATCCATACTAATTGTTGGATTCTTTAAAGATTCTCACGTATGCTCGACTGAGCATAAGCTTCTTTGTCGCTTTACTCACTGGGACAGCGTGTTACGGCCAGGGAAAAGACGCAGCTAACGTACTGTACAATATAGGTTTGCTGTCGTTCACCGAGCAATTCCTCATGTTCCTGTCGATGAATAATTCTCTCATATTTTGTGAGTATTTTTTCCTATCACGTATTCTTAACTATCATTGAAAATATCTATTAATTAGCTCTTTAGTTTCGTTAGAATTGCCGACGTTGAGACGTGAATACTTCAATCGATGGTACACGTTGCACTCGTATTTCCTGGCCAATAGACTCGCTGATCTGCCAATTGAATTGATCGCCATTACCAGTTACTCGGTCGTCATATACTTTTTAAGTGGGCAACCACACGATTCCACAAGATTGGGGATGTTTCTACTGTCGTTGGTGCTTGTATGTTTAGTATCTCAGGCGATTGGCCTTTTAATCGGAGCTTGTTTTACTGTCAGGGTAAGAAATAATTTCTTACATTTTTTATAGTAAAAAGAAACGAAATTCGTGAGCAATTACAATGTGAATTTGCAGACAGCGGCAATCTTAGGACCTATAGCGGTAGTTCCAGCGATGTTGCTCAGCGGATTTTTCGTGCAGCCACAAGACGTACAGCGACCACTCAAATGGCTGTTTGATTTGTCTTTTTGTAAATATGCTCGTGACGGATTGATCTACGCTATGTACGGGTAGGTATCCATAAATTTTAAATTCAAACTTTTCGTGATAACATTTTTATTTTCTCGATCAAAGGTTGGATAGACCGAGGATGGCCTGTAGCGAAACCGAATACTGTCATTTTTCTTCGCCCAAGGTTGTACTCAAAGCATTTGATGCGACCCACGTGAATTATTGGTTCTCCATGTCGGTTATGTGTGGATTCTACGTTGTCTTGAACGCAATGGCTTACTTTGCATTGAGATTGCGGTTGAAGATTCAATTTCAGTGAAAGATATATATTTCATTAATGTTGTACATACTTAATTAGCAAGATTATACAAGTTTTTTCTGTAAAACGTATTTGCATGTCGTGTGGTTGGCAAGTAAAAAAAATAAAGTTCAATTTTACATTGAATGCGCTGTGTTGATTAATTATTTGATCGTTCTTTCCAATCTATATAATTTTTATGTGATCGTTAATGAATGGCAATCAAGCGTAGTTCGCATAATCGTTTTTACTACATTAATTATTTCAATAGGAGAATTCTGAATGACAATTTGAATATTTTTAGCTTCCAAATGCAAATTTTAATACAAGTGTCAACAACGTTTTTATCACGATTCATTGCGAGCAGAAAATTTATTAATCATTCCTCACAAGATTATCGATGATGCATCAGCGCCTTTCAATATACGTCATAATATTCTGTTTTTTCCATACAGCCATTTACGTTTTTGCCGGATACTAATAATTTCAGTATCGCGCGTGGTATTTATCGTGTTTGGCCGTAGATAATGTTGTCCCCGTGTGGTGTTTATGTGCGAAATATTTGGAATTTTTTACTGCTTATGTGATACCATGCTATTTTATAATAAACCAAGCTTTTAATAAAAGGAATCTCACTTTCACCAATTTACTTGAAATTATTTTCTCAAGGTACGTATATCGATTAAAGTACGTATTCATTTTTGTATTCTATAGAAATTAAGCTTCCAAGCTGTCAAATATAACTAGTAGAAACGTTGATCGTGAAATTTTAAATTGAAATAGAAAATATAATTCACCGAGAAATGAAGAAAACTATTGCTTACTTTGGATATATATTTATTAGTTTATCATTGGATTTTATCGCAATAAAATTAGATTTATTACTGGAATCAGACTCAACTTCTTTAATTTTGAGGAAAGTTGTTTTTTTCTCACAGATAAAAAGAATTTATTATCAAAAATTTCTGGAAACTTTCGACCAGGGGAACTCACTGGGATCATGGTACCAACAAATTCTGACCAAACTATATTAATGGATGTTTTAGCTGGATTTATGTACATTGGAATGTAATTATTTTCAGATAAAAATTTCATTAAAAGGATTGAATTTGAAATTTCTTCGAAAAACCACAGCTCAAAAAAAAATCAGCTTGTCATTCTGTAAATATGGCTTCGAAGAGATTATAGATAGCATTTACGGATAAATAATTAATAAACCGTTGAATTCCGTACTTAAATTAATGAATACTGGTTTATTTGATTGAAGGTCTGTTACATTAAATTACAGCGACTTTTCCCTCAAACTTCGTGTATCAAGAAAAATCGCCAACGAGTTTGGAGTTGAACGATTGAATTATTGGCACTCTGCGTTGGTTTTAACAGGATTTTATGTTTTTTCACATATGATTGCTTACTTGTGTTTGTACGTGCGTGTTTGAAATCGATGATCGAACAGCGTAATTTTAAAAGTAATGAAACCGAAATAAAAATTCAGATTGAATAAAATATACTTTTAAACATTATACAAATTGTGCTGCTTTAAAAAATGTCATAAACACATCTTTATACCTTACCAAGCCATCCCAATATCAAAATTAGCAGTATCACACTGTATGACAAAATTTCACGTCTTAAAGACGCCACTTACAAAATTTTTCATCTAAATATATATGTATATATAAAACTCACGGCGACGTTTGAAATACGTGCTATGTATTGTTTACCGCACTATCTAAGCCGAAAAAACAAACAAGAAAATAAGTAACCAAACATATCGATAACAAATTGTATAAATGCCAGCCTTATTTAAATCATACACTTTCTCCTTCTCAACCTCACTCGTAATAACAAAAAGGCAGTGACATCGAGTGCAATGTAAAGTCCGATCATAAAAACTGCCGATATCCAATAATTGGAGTGCAACATGTCGACCATCTTGAGTAGTGTTTTAGGAAGTCTGAAGTGACAATAATCAGCGGAACAATTCAATTTTGGTCGATCGTACCTGTATAAATTTGAATGTCATTTCCATTGTTTGATTTCGATTCGGGTACAGTTGCGTACTCACCCGTAGATAGCAACTACAACACCTTCAAAGGCATATTTGAAGAAGGATACGTGAAACAGCCACTGGATATAGGACGGAGCATCGTTCAAGTAAACAAAGTGTCCGCTGAATACCATGAATGGGACGACTGCCATTGGACCAAACATCACTGCGTTCTTGAAAAAAACATCCGTTTTTTAAATATACCGTGCGTTATTTATGTTTGTCGTAATATCAGTTGATATATTTACTCGAACGCTGAAGCTAATGCCCACAATAAGTCCAATAATTTGAGCAACGAGGCTGGTCATGAGACACATGAAAACGAAGAGTACCATTCGTAAAATATCAGATATCTGGCCGCTCATCTTGTAAACGATAATCGTGTGACATGCACAGGCAAACGTTTGAATGGGAAGATCAGCAAGTTTGTTAGCAATGTAGAACGATCGCAACTTGTACCAGCGATTAAAGTGCTCACGTGTCAGGATCGGCAATTCTTGTGCAACTGAAATTCAACGAGATGCATTGTGGGCGAAGCCGATTGATTGGCTTTTCTTCAGATATCAACGTACAGGTGATGTAGGTGATGTTGAATGCATTGAACACGACGAATATCAGAGTGAAGAAAAGTAAGCTGACGTTATCACGGACGAGAGCGGCGTCTTGGCCGATTTGGTAATACATGGAGCCAACCAGCAGACCAATCAGTACGTGCAATATTAGTCGTACATACAGTAGAATCTGAAATAGAACAAATTTTATAAATAAATTCGGTTCATCTCGTTCAAGTGACGACTTACTCTGTCTCTAGAAAGTTTGATAATATTCCGCTTAAGCAAAGTCCAAAGCTGCCAGAAGAAACCATTAACATAGTAAGCAGAATTCGCGCGAAAACTTTGAGATTCGTAGTTAATCATCATCGCTGATAATGGCAATTTTGGTAAATATTCGAGACAGCGCATTCCCGATGATTCATTGACACTCGAACTGTTTGCACTATCGTTAAGCCAACGCTTACATTTGCCATTGTCGGATGAATTGATCAGTCGTTCCACGTGCTCTTCACCGTAATCGCCATTCAGTACTTCTAGCACTGCAACCAAATATATTTTGTAAAAAGTTTCTTTAAAATAAGAAAACATTGCTTTCTCATGTACTCACGAAAATCAGCAGGATCGTAATACGTAGGACATTGGAGATGAGAATTTCTTAAAAACGAGACGAGATTTCGCGCACTACCGGTGTAGACGCAGTGACCTCTGTCCAGAACGTAGAGATGATCGATCATGTCGAACAAACTGGCACTCGGTTGATGAATTGAACACACGATGGTACGACCCTCTCGAGCTAACGACTTTAATAGTCCCAGGCATTGACGTGACGTGACGCTATCTAAACCGCTTTTCAAGAAATACGTTATAGGTGACAGTGACAATTCATTATAAGTGAAAAGATAGGTGAGTACCTTGTGGGTTCATCGAAAAACATTATTGGCGGATTGCTGATCAGTTCTAACGCTATTGCCAGTCTCTTCCTCTGACCCCCGCTCAAATCTTTGGTGTGTGTTTTCATAGCGCTTTCTAGGCTCATTTCTTTCAATATCACGTCTATCTGTAATGTGTTAGACCGTAACTTTGAAAAGGAATTAATTACGAGAGAATGACAATAGTGTCGCGGACCTCATTTCATTGTTTACAAATGAAAGAAAATGTATCCGTGTAACGAAGATAGATTTTTTAGAACATTGTTTTTTTACAGAAATAAGTTGGTAACTTAGATTAATGCTTTACAAATACTGTCTCGTACGTGTCTATCGTTGAATGACGATCGATTATATGAGCTTTTGAAATTCTATGAATCACACGTTCATTGCCGATAGCTATTAGAAAAGCGATACATAATGCATGCGAAGAATGATACTTGTGCAACTGACTTATGTAAAAAAAGCATAGATCTATCCAAAAGCTTTTCATTTTATGAGTAATATTTCACAAAATAAACTCGACTTTCTTTGATAAACGGAAAATCTTCTTGCGAAAGAGATTCCTTTTCATTCCAGACGATTCATTTTCCAAGTATAGTTATCCACGAAAGCTTAAGCTCGAGCGCAAAGAATTTTCTTACACCATGCTTTTTTTCACAGCTGGAGAGGTTGGATTCGAGTTTGAGGTCAGCGGCGATTCGCATAGCCTCGGCGACGGTAAGCAATGGCTGTAACTGGTCGTCTTGCATGATGTAAGCCGACGAGCGTCGAAACGACGCAAGATTGCGCTTGCTACCGTTGACCAGCACTTCGCCTTGCCAGCCGGATGTCCTACAAAAAGAAGTAGTGGTTCTAATCTAATTTTTGTAACGTTAAATGCCACCAGTAACCGTGCTCGACACATTACATAACAGGAAATGATTTTATCATCAATCACTTTCAAAAGGGTAAGCATTGTAGTCGATTCGAACAATGTGCCTCAATGTCGAGGTCTAACTTACAAAGTTTCTGGCTGTGCTTTCCAAAAAGTTCCTCTAAATATTTTAAACTTACGTGAATCCTGTTAAAATGTCCATCAACGTTGATTTGCCGGCACCGGAAGGGCCCATAATTGCTGTGAGCTCTCCCGATTGGAAGTCGCCGCAGATGTCCGACAGTAACTTTTTCCATTCTGCAAGCATGCATCTCGTTTTATGACGTTTGTTTTCTCAATCGTCAGTCATCGTTATTTAGTTCACGGGCACTTGGCTTTGACCATTTGCTAAAAAAGCTGTAACTGATTTTATTTAAAAAAGTCGGAAAAAATTTTCCAATCGAGTAGTGTTTAATTATGCGCGTCAACTTGAAATCTATCTTGAGATTGATGAGACGATAAGAACATCTCTATTTGTCACTACATCGTTAGATTGATTAGTTGATAAAATTGCCATTCCTCGTAATACAAAATTATACGTTGTGCATTATAGTTGATTTTGTTCTTCTTTTTTAAACGACACATTGCATCTTTTGTTGCTTTGAATTTTCGAGTGAATGAAATTCAATCGACAAGGAATAAAAAAGATTATTGTACGAGTCATTTATGACTTGCATTAATATGTATTGCACGACATTGAAATACGAAACTACTGACGTATGTCGCGATATCAATATTAATACACACAGTAGCGCACATAATCAAATGATAATACATAATCGTCACTTAATTTTATGTTTTGTAAATTACCTATCTATATGCACAACTGCGACTTTAACAATGTTGCTTACCCAATGTTACAATACAAAATATTACGTTGACTTACACGAACGAGCTATTAAAGTCTATCGTTCTCGCGAAAAGTAGAGAACAGTCGGCAATTATAATTATTACCAGTGCACGTGCACCGAGCGCTTTTGTCTCGTGTATACTCACTTTTTGAGAAAACACCGCTGCGTACAGAGTAGCTGATGTTATTGAAAGACAAACTCAGTCGATCGGGATTGGCACGTGATTTTTCGGATTCCATCATGATAGGACCACCGAGCCGCTGCCCATCAAACCCTCGGTACTTCACCCATCACGATTCACAAGAAGACACAGCCAAGTCGACCTCCCATCGGAAAGCAATAAAATGTAAAAGTCGCGTTCCGATCGAAAGAGGAACAAACAATTGGCGCCGAGGGCCTCGGAACGGCAGTGCGTTTGAAAACTTCGCGACGCGTGTATCCGCTCGCAGCGCTCGCTCGACGTAAACTGAGGTGAGCTCGAATGCGCGCGCGCGCGCAGTATCCTACACCTGCAAACCAGTTTCAGTATGGAATTTCAGTCTTTTTCTTCAGTTCTACGGCTCGCTGCAACTCAAAATTGACGCTGCCGCCTTGCGCTTATTTGTGGCATTGAGACACGCTTTGGCTGCGATTGCGCACCTAACTCACGTTTCGATATTAGACGCTGATGATCGCAGAAGGTTATTGGAAGTTGCCTTGTTAGTTTTGCGCGCTGAAATTATGGTAAAACTACATCTTAACGTAATCAATAAGAGCTTTAATTTTCTTTATCATACGATTCAATAAACCTAAACTCTACACCCCGTCATTTTGTAATTTAAAAATAAAGTTTTAAAAACTGATTTTCTTAAGATGAAAATTTTTTTTGGGAAAATGCGGCTCCGCTCAATTCAGAGCACAGGTTTAATAAAAAAATGAACCCTCAAAATAATCTTCATTCACTCTTACGTTTGGGAAAGCACGGCAAAGCTACATTTGTTAGTAAAACAAATGTAATGTACACGGTGACTTTCTGCTTTCATCTACAATTCAAGATGATAACAAAAGTTTCACGTTCGAAACTTTATTAAGACGATTTTTACAAAACAATTAAAAATAATTAGAAATTTTCACTGTTAGATGCAATATTGTTGCCTTGAGTTATCGCTACTCCAGTTTATGTATGTACATACTACGGAGAAGTACTTATTGAAATAGGCAGTGAAAAGCCTTGCAAATCAAATAATCGTTATATTAAGAAATTATCAGTAATAGACAATAACGATATAAAAATCAAAGGGATTTGCCCGATGTTCGATTATAATTATGTGGAATCTGCTCGCTAGGTGGCATATGGAGAACTATTATATTGGCATAATCTTGAAAGTGGAAGCTTTGAGTACAATTTACTAACGCAAGTAGTTATGGGAATATAAATGTTTATTTTCTAAAGGTAATACGGTTTTCATTTGTCTGTTGTTCAGAAAAACACCAATCGCACATATACATATATATATACCACGGAACAAATTGCAAGATGAAGTTTACAATATAAACCTGATGATATTTTCAAATATTTAAATATAAAATCTCCATTTACATTGCAATATCGTTTTATGACAAGAAGGGGAAATGGATTTGCTCTATCGCGATGAGATTGGTTCAACGAGGCAATATCTTAGGTCGAAAAGTACTAATTGTTGATGTTATTTAGAACGACTTTTCTATCAATGAAATAATTGTAAAATCAATATGACGAAAAAAATAAATTTTATTGTTTAAACTGAACGAAGTCGCACGAATTCGAATTTCAAATGAAAACTGCCGACAAGACCTTGTTTTGTTCTTGTCCGTCGAACGCGCCTTTATCCTTTCGCTCGCAACCATCAGATCCAGACCTCCACTCCGGCTCGGATTCCGCTTAGCACTGGCATTCTGTCGGCTGACAGACGCGCGCGCAGACGCCGCTGGCAGTCTAACGTCGATTTATCTTCACTCGTCTTCGAATCACTCGCAGCCAGCACAGAGCACTCCTGGCGCCGCGTCGCCATCGGCGCGTCCTCGTCCACCCTGAATCTCTTATTTCCCGGGTGAAGGTGTTCGGGCATCGACGCTTCTCTACTCTGTCGAAGATACTCGGCGTATGCTCGTTTGCGACGAAGCGTCGACTGGTCGTGGGAACTCTCGGCCAGCTCTGCCTCGGCCGCTTGTCTCTCGCGTTCGCGCGATCGGGTCTGGGCGTTTTGGTACATCTGATCGAGACGTGGATCGCTGACTGACGCCATTATACGCGACTGCACTGCGCTGGATCGCGTATCCGAGCTGCCGGTTCGCTGGCAGTACTCTCTGCACGTCGTGTCGGTAATTCGTGTGCTTGCGTTGGTGATTTTTTTTCTTTCGTTTCGTTGCGTTGGTAAGGAAGCGATCTACGATCGCAATAAAAAAATAACAGACAAACAAATAAAGCAACGTTCGAGATCAAAGGGACGCGTCATTTTGATGTTGGACGACGCGCAGTCAAATTTGTGAGAAGTTGAATAAAAAACAAGACAAAATGACGAATTCGAAGCCTTCGATGGTATTTTGCGCCTTTCCACCGCGGTATAATGAAGGACTTGCTACCACACACGAGATCCAGTAAGCCACGAGTGCATTGTGGATTTAAACGATAAAGGAAATAAGGCTTACTTCGAGTTTCGCGTTGAGCGATCGATTTTGAAAACAAGAAATAACGCGATGTAATTACTAAAAGTGCCGCGCGTCCACGTATTCGCGAGGAAAACGTACTCTAATGGCAGGTAACTGATTGCGATTACAAACTTCGACTCCGGAATGAGTTGCCACTCAAAGGAGACGAGAAATAAACGCGCAGGATTGTGCCGCGCACGCACAATGGTTATGTACTCAAAGGACTTGTCGCGCTATTGCCGAGGCACAATTAGCTGATTTGAATTAAGGGCATGTTGTATATAGATATTTTTTGTTCTGTCTAAAGAGAGAAACCAGGTATGACACCTGACGATAGGCTTCCCTGCATACACGAGAGTCTCAAACCTGTCTAGTGAAGGGAGTCTAGCGTCCTCGTATGATTTTCGTGCCTATAACGCTTTTCTAAGAGGATTTATACGTGTCGTTTAAACTTTCTCTGGTTTCCACGATTTATTTTATTTCGGGGAATGCCGACTTCCCATTCTATCGCTCTGTACTTCGTGCCAGCTGGAAAATAAAACAGGAAATTTAGAGAGGAAAAACATGAAAGTTTGATATTAATCCAATGCCAAACCCGTCAATCGGGTTATAATTATGAAAGTTTAGAGCGATTGCGATGCATAAATTTAAGGCAAGGAAAAAAGTTCTCTGGACAGATGCGACGCTGGCGATGTCGCTCCGCTGGATATTTCATAGCCTTCCATGAGTTCCGCTCATTGTGAAATCGTCGCGGTGAATCTTCGGCACGCGTGCGACGGATACGCTCTTATTTTGCGAGTTATTCAACGAATGCATTTTACAAAATACTACGGTGACTCAATGCCCCTTGTCGATACAAGTGTATCGCGAACAGAAGACAACGAAATTGTTCGTTGGTCATTTCCTCGTCTGCGTAGGTTACGCGGGTCGGCCGGTAACCCGTCGACGTGTCGTATAATAACGCTAACGTCGTGTCGAATTATCGAAAGCCACTGTACAACACGCAGGCGATATTATTCGGACATCGCCACTCTCGCGGAGCGATAATTCGCTCGCAGAAATACAGTTGCGCGCAGATAAGACTTTGCTCTCGAGCGATCCGCGAGCCACGGGCGGATCGCCGTGTGTCCGTGTGTCGGCCACTTGAAATTTCCACGCGCATCGATCCACCTGATCTTCCGTTCAGACGCGATATTCGCCCAAAAGCAAGCGTGGACATTCGAAAGACACAGTCCCTGGCACAAGGCGGCGCGAGTGGGGGAGAAAAGGAACGGCATTTGTGCATATTAACGGGCGCAGGCGCGGCGCCGCCGGAGATAAAGTAATCAAGCGGTCGACGGAGTTCCCGGGGCGCAGTGCGTTCGCGCTCGCTCACGGCAGCAGTGCGTGGCGATCGCTCGAAAATCGGTGCACGAGCGCGTACAGTACACGTCGAGCTGGATGCCGCGACCGCGATGAGATCGGAGAGGCCGATCGGCGCTGCGACCCGCAGCGCCAATCAATTCACCGTCAGCTTCAACGACATCAGCTACTCCGTGCGCCGCAGGCCGTTCTACGGAGGTGCGTATATCGCGCGTCTTATTGCAAATATGCCACGTGCTTGCAGTTATTGCCTAATACCGCGCGGCGAACGACCACTGGCGACGCCATGCCCGCGCGGGATTTACCTTCGCGAGTCCGATTTTCATTGTGCTGGATAATCTTGCATCCGTTGTTCGACAAATAAATATCACGTATGTTATCTGCTTCGCGGGTGTCTGACCCGGAGAAATTTCCGCGTGCTCTCTGATCTGCATAATTGAGTACGACTCGCGTATGAAGACTGTGAGGAAAGCTGACCGACAATTTTCATTGTTATTTATTGGGCGCAAATGTACACCGATGGGTCGGCTGGCAAAAGACTCAATGATAATGATTCCAAAAAATCCGATGCATTATCTTATCGACATATGGATAGAATTTTTATGAATGAAAGGTAAAAGTGAATCCGATGAAATTATTTCAATGGAAAGCTGTGCGGTCTTAAATTTTCGTAGATATCTTGCGTAACTGCACAGCTTTTCAGAAAAATAAATTATTCAAATGCTATGTGAAAATCGACAATGATTTTTACCATTAATTGTTATCGATGTTCAGTACAGCTTCGATTATCGTAATTAGACGGCTATTCATCGCGGTTATTCCAACTGCATGTCATTTAAGTGAGTAAGACAAAGAGAGATAATTCTCGATTAAGAAAGCTAATGAAATGATTGTTTGCAAGACCGATTACAGCAAATATTATTGAAACAACACGTCGTCACGTTATTAGAGTAAAGTTATTTTCTTGACATTGAATGTTTACGTAGTGTAATATTTTTTATGAACTAGAAAAAATATGCATTCAGCGATCGCATGATAATTTAAAAAACATACAAGGAACTGCAGTCGAATCAACACGATATGTCATTCTTACTAATCGGTCAAGCTTTGCATAAGAGTGAATGAACTTAATCGTCAGCTCGGTACTTTATTGCTCGGGAATAGGTACTCTACGTAAAATTTGTGAATCAATCAAAAAGGTTAAGTATAAAACAAGTATAAAACGAGATGCATGCTTGCAGAATGGAAAAAGTTACTGTCGGATATCTGCGGCGACTTCCATTCGGGAGAGCTCACGGCAATTATGGGACCGTCCGGAGCTGGCAAATCTACGTTGATGGATATTCTCACGGGATTCACGTACGTTGTACATATTGTTGTTTGAAATTTTTGTTTAAAGGAAAATATCTCGACGAAGCAAATTCTTTGGGCTTATGTTGCGTATTAGTTGTAGCTTTTGGAATACACACGCGGGGCTTGAAGGTTAACTTTTATAAATACTTCATCGATGCTATTGCCTACCGGAAACTGATTCCACGAACGTTTCTACGCGCGTATGAAAAAAATTCCGTCAATCGAAGAAGGAAAAAAAGAGCAACCTTCTCCAAGCGCTCTCAGAATAGGAATGGGAAAGCGATTCCCATCGGTGTAAATCAGTCGCAAAAGCGCGAGACCGCTTCGCTCGTCGTTCTCCTCTACCTCTAACGAGAAAATCGCTGCTTTAACGCTCATCAGGACGTCCGGCTGGCGAGGCGAAGTGCTGGTAAACGGTCGAAAGCGCAACCTCGCGTCGTTTCGCCGATTGTCGGCTTACATCATGCAGGACGACCATATGCAACCGTTGCTGACCGTGGCCGAGTCCATGTGGTTGGCAGCTGATCTCAAACTCGAATTCAACAAGTCAGCCACGGAGAAATGGCTGGGTGTAAGCCGCCGCCACCAGCACATGTACAAGCCTTCGGCATTGCGAGCGCGTAAGTAACGTCCGTTATGTTTTAGATAGACACCATATTGAAAGAAATGGGTTTGGATAACTGTGCCAACACGCGCGCCAATGACTTGAGCGGTGGTCAGAAGAAGAGACTGGCGATAGCGTTAGAGCTGATTAGCAATCCACCGATAATGTTTTTCGACGAGCCCACGAGGTACGTAACACTCGTCTCGCGTTGACATTCGAATTACCCGTTCTAACATTTCTCCATCTTTAGTGGCCTGGATAGCGTAGCAGCGCGCCAATGTCTCGGACTACTGAAATCTCTGGCAAGAGAGGGCCGTACCATCGTGTGTTCGATCCACCAACCGAGTGCCAGTCTCTTCGACATGATCGATCATCTCTATGTAATGGACAAGGGCCACTGCATCTACACCGGCAGTGCGCGAAATCTCGTCTCGTTTCTGATGAGCTTCAATCTGCAATGCCCCGCTTACTATGATCCTGCTGATTTTTGTAAGTGACAACTCTCCCGTTCCCAAGAATAATTGCTCGTAAAGCAAGTGTCTATTCGTAGTACTAGAAGTCGTCAACGGTGACTACGGCCATGAGCATTTGGATCAATTGATCAACTCGTCCGACAGAGGCAAATGTAAACGCTGGCACGACGATGGTGGCAGCTGTAGCGACAGTTCAAGCAACGATCAGTCATCGAAAATGCGCTGCGTCGAGTATTTACCTAAATTGCCGTTATCAGCAACGCCGATAATCTACGAATCGCAAACGTCCTGGGCGAGTTCGGCTTACTATGCTACCGGTTTCTTTTGGCAACTTCGGGTTCTGCTCAGGCGGAACGCAATCAAACTCTCGAGAGACAAGGTAGGTTCCTTGAATAATGCTCCAAGATGGATTTGGTGTTGTGCACGTAATTGCTTTCAGATTCTTTCATTCACGCGATTGACGATGCACCTCCTGATCGGTTTGCTAGTTGGCTCGATGTATTACCAGATTGGCCAGGACGCCGCTTTTGCGCTCGAAAATTTTAGCCTGCTCTTCTTCACGCTCATGTTCGTTATGTACACTGCGTTCAGCGCTACTCTTATCACGTGTAAGATCAATCAATGTCTAATCCATGTCACATCCGCTAGACGTTTCACAACTGAGAAACTCGATAGATAAAGTTGTGCTGTGATTTTGCTAAAATTTCTTCTTTATTAGCCGGGACACCGTTCATCCGATCGCTCCTTGCTTTTCTTTTTGTAGTTCCAGACGAATTGCCGATTCTGACGCGAGAACACTTCAATCGTTGGTACAAGTTGCGTTCGGTCTATATTGCTAACAAACTTGCCGATCTGCCAGTACAAATTGCCGCAACTGCGTGTTTCACGTTTGTCGTTTATCAGATGAGCGGACAGATATCCGAATTGAGGCGACTAGCTCTTTTCGCTCTAATGTGTCTCATGGTTAGTCTCATAGCTCAGATCATTGGACTTATCATTGGTATTAGTTTGAGCGTTCAGGTAATTATATTTGACATATACGTATTGTGTTCTTTATAGTAGCCTTAGAAATCATTAATTTTTGTAATGTTTGTTATAGAATGGAGTTGTTTTCGGACCTTTTGCTATAACGCCATCTTTGATATTCAGCGGATTCTTCGTGTACCTCAGAGATGCCCCCTCGTATATTCAATGGATATTCCATGTATCTTTCCTCAAATATGGCTTTGAAGGCGTTGTACTGGCTATCTACGGGTGAGTAAATTTAGTTCCTCTTATTTTGAGAATCTTCTAGTTACTGTTTTCGGTCAAAAATTTATTGAGCTTTTTGTCTTTAAAATTGTGAAAACTTAAAAACTTATCTTTAAAAGTAATCTGATATGTACAGCCTCGTCCAAAAATCTTTGCTTTTTCAAAAAAATGCTTACCGAATTTCTGAAATCTTATACTTTAGCTAAAAATTAGTTAGTAATAATTAAAAAAGCGATTTTCAGTGATTTAAAATATTTCAAGATTTCAAGGCTTGAATAAATCTTTTAAATGAAATTACTTTGAGATTTAAAGATTCTTTGTCAATAGAGATATAAAGCTTTAGTTTTATTCAGCTTTTGGGAGAACGAAGACTTGTGGACTAGGCTGTACATTTTCCAAAATTTGACTTTATTGTAGATAAAAGAATTGGAAAAGGAGTTTCCAATAAAATTGTGCTTTCACGAAATTGAACTGAAATTGCATGTAAATGTACAGATACGGTCGGCCAAAGATGGGATGTTCAGCTGATTACTGTCACTTCAGGCTACCCGAAGTACTTCTCGATATGGTCAATATGAAGTATTCGAGTTACTGGACGTCCACAATTTTCATGATTGGACTCTACATTGTGCTCGACGTCACGGCGTATTTGTTATTACGCGTGAGGTTAAAAAACCGGACGTATATCATATAGACAGTTAGGATCGTCAATGCCGGACTATAATTATTATTGAGATTTGTAATTTGCACGAGCTTGGATAAGTAAAATCATCACGAGCCTTGGATGTGTAAAAAATGCGATTGCTCTTTTTTTTTTTCTTTTTTACATATTATATTTATATTTCTCACATACTTCAATGCCTAACTCAATTATTTGTTTTTATTATTGTTGAAAGCTTTTATTAACCGTTAATGAGTGATGTCAGTTTTATTTTTCAATATCCTAAGTCGTGATCGAGCTAAAGTAATTTTACAGAGATGAGTGATATTTTTTTACAAGTGAAATTTCTAGATGATAAGTAATTGTGATAATCATTCTAATGATATACGAGTCCATCGCCATAATTCAGAACAATGATGTTGTTATTTAATTACTCAAATCAAATATCAGAATGAAATTTTATTACAGAATTGTACGTGTGATTGATTGAAAGTATGTTTCTATTCAGCTTTTAAATAAAACAACATTATATTTTGTAATTCAAAGTCGTTTTCATTTATTTGATGGATAAACGTTGATAGGTAAGATTAGAACTGTCAGTGACACTGCTGTCACTGAATATCAAACATTTATATTTGTTGTTGTTCTTGCTGCTTACTGCTGATACGACAGAAACAAAGTATGAGGATGCGCGGCGTACATTCCAGGTGGCAGCAGCTCTTGGCGCTTATTTCTTATCGGTTCTTTACAGAAGAGCTAATGTATCGTCTAAAAAAATGTGACCTCCCAATATACGCTCAATTATTTTTATAAAAAAATCCAAACAACTCGTTCCAGTGCGATCGCTGCTCCGACACAAGTGCTTGCAGCTGGACTTTGATATCGATACCATACGTATGATTATCTTATGCAAGATATAAAAGTGCTTTCTTTGTGCCAGGTATAGGATGATTTTATAATCGACCGCTCGTAAGCAGAGACAAAAGTTTGTTTTGAAAAAATTATACGTCAAAAAGATTACTTCCGCGCCCGCGTAATTGAAAAGTCGATTTTGAGGTGTTGGTGAGCACGTTGAATTATATCGCAAAGGAGCGAGCGATACAATGAAGCTGGATAGTGTAATGGAAGAAGCTGAGTAATGAAAAAGTTATGTACGGATCAGACCGAAAAGTGTGCGCAAATCGACAAGGGTGACTAGGTCGGTATGTTCAAGTGATTGGATCAAGAACCTTCTCTTTAAGTTGATTACAAAGTAAGAATGACGTGAATTTAATATTTGGGCGGTTTACACAAATCTTCATCTTTGTTTTTGAGATTCTTACTACACTATAATTTCATTCATAACTTTCACACATAATTACTTAATCCTTATTTATTCTTTTTATCATTTGATTTCTATTATCGAAAGTTACAAATTGACAAACTTTTTTTGTAAAAGCTGCCCCTAACAAAATGTCGGAGCGAGTGTACTACCCTTCGGCAGAGATCACTGTACTCTTAACATTTATGGCTTGCACGAAATATCGCAGTCACAGTCCCTTCTCCAAACGATAATGATGAATGGATGACCTTCCTTATTATCAAAAACTAAATGCTCAACAAAAATCAGGAAGTTCACGGTTTGATCAATGACTGGAGTCATCCACCCTGAAGAATAATAAATAAATTATGATGTTTCATATAAACCTGAAGCTGCTCGAGAATAATAGTTTCTATGAATTGATAGCTTAGCTTCCTCTAAAAAATATCAACATGATAAGCCTTTGGCAAACTATCGCTCTTATCTCGCGCTTCCCATCTCTATAATCTCAACGACACTATACAACTTCTGACAGTCACCTAAAATTAATCAGAATCCCAGACGACGAGACAACGAGATATGTCACGCGTTATATTATTCGCCTTATCTTGCAGAAAGAAAGAGAAAGAATAACTTTATATCTGCAATTGATCGGCGTGCCGAGCTTTCAGTCGCTAGCAGACACTTGCCGTGTGACGCACGAGCTTTGTGGTGACCGCGTGTCATTCATCGATTCGCGCGCGACATGTGCCCCAAGTTTCCCTTCCAGTTCTATTTGCTGTAAGCTCTCTTCGAGCAATGGCTAAAGGTATCTCATAATGTTGCTCCTCTTTGCCGTGGTCCGTTAATGTTGATTGTTCACTTTTGCCGCGCGACTCTTCTATCGTTTTAGGTCACGCACGAGATGTCACAATGTTTGTTGTCCAGTGTTACGTCTAATATCGTTATCAAAAGGTCCCGTTATGCTGCTTCAATATTCACCAGGAATTGCTTGAAGCGTGTCGAATCGTCATCGAAATACTGCATCCAATAAACTTCGGAAATAAAGAAAAGTCGCATTCCATTGCAGGTACCAAACAGTCGATTATCAAACATGTGCGCGATTTGCAAGCAATCAACGTCGAAACATCGAAGGCGATGAGCGCAGCGTGACGCTATAACTCTTACGATTCAGTGTAATAGAGCGACGAAAACAGAAAATGGAAATACCAACGGGAACGACGAAGACAAAGAGGAGTTTTATAAGCAGCGTCGGCCTCAAATTAGATCTTGAACTGGCGAAGATTCATAAGAATATAACTGGCCCATCGCCTATCAAAACATCAAATACACCGGTTGGCGTTAATCAGTTGAATCTTACATTCGATGCTCTCAGTTATTACGTTCAAACTGGTTTCTTTAAGAAAGGTAATGATTTTTGCAGTGAAACAATTTCAATATAATTTTGCTTATTATTGCTTGCTATCGGGTTATTCAAACAAAAACTACTCCTCCAAGGTTGCCAAGAAGCGAGGCTATTTCGTTCAAAGTCAACCAGTTCGACAAATTCTTTTATTCATGAAACCTATGATGCACAATTAAAACACGTCCCCGCGCAACTCGAACTTTTTTATGCAATTTGGTCTTCTGTTATCGTTTTCATATAACTACGTCAAGCCGAGATATTTAGTTCTAATCGGTTTCCAAGAAACTATTGGTGCTAAAGAGATTTGCTCGATAAAATATAATTAATGATTTTTATCGATCATTTAATCCCCAAAACTAAATAGATTTTCTACTCTGTTTCGATATAGTAGTTCAAGAATTTTCGTATTTTCATATTTCTCAGATAAAGCAATAAATAAGCGATAATATCGGGTAATCTGTACCAAGATATACACACATTGTTCGCACAGCGTGTAAAAATACATGGCCATTCAGCAAAGATCAGCAACGACAATCTCGGATTTTTCTCTCTCGCAGACGTGATATAGAGTGTTTCTTTCGTATGAATGTTTACGATACTAGAAGTGTAGAGGCGCGCGTGCAACTTACGAATGCCTCACGTACAAAACGATGAGTACGATCCGACGAGAGTTGTTTAATAAAATGACAATGAAAAACATTTTTGTTGATCGATTTTAAACAGACAATCGCAAGTGCTAGCTCTCTTTTGCCCCAAATGGATCGAAACCATAGCAATGAGAGGATCGCGATAGTCAGGCGCGCTTGTCACTCGTGATCAGGTGCTTTTCCTCAATTACACATTCATGCTTGCTTGCAGAAAAGAAACGCGTATTGTCGAACGTCTGCGGGGATTTTCGACCTGGCGAGCTCACGGCGATTATCGGACCGTCCGGCGCCGGCAAATCCACGCTCATGGACATTTTGGCCGGATTCACGTGAGTGCCCGAAGTTTCAGCTGTGCGTGAAAAGCCCTTGTTTCGTTAGCACCGTGCGAAAGAAAGCCTTGGCGCTTTCAGGACTTCGGGCGTGACCGGCGACATCCGTGTGAACGGCCGAGGACGCAATCTCGCGGCGTTTCGTCGCTCGTCCGCCTACATCATGCAGGACGACAACCTGCAGCTGCTGCTCACCGTGCAGGAGTCCATGAGCGTGGCCGCCAATCTGAAGCTGGGGCCGGAAACCCCGGAGGTCGACAAGCAGCACGGCGTAAGGGATTCGCAAGGTGGAGCGCGCCGCCAGCTGGTCTCACGTCGCTGCGATCGTTTCAGATAGACATAATTCTACGAGAAATGGGCCTGGGCTCGGCACGCGACACGCGCGCTGTCGACCTGAGCGGCGGCCAGAAGAAGAGGCTCGCGATCGCCTTGGAGTTGATCAGCAATCCGCCGATGATGTTCTTCGACGAGCCCACCAGGTAACAACGGCTTCGCGGTCGCGTCCTGCCGAGTCGGCCATCGAGACAGACTTGCCGCTTCTGTTCCGCAGTGGCCTGGACAGCGTGGCGTCTCGACAATGCGTCGGCTTGCTGAAATCCCTGGCGCAGGAAGGCCGCACGGCGGTCTGCACGATCCACCAGCCGAGCGCGGCCCTCTTCGACATGATCGACCACTTGTACGTGGTCGTCGCCGGCCGCTGCGCTTACGCCGGGAGCGCGCGCAACCTCGTACCTTATCTCGCGAGCGTCGGCTTGCCGTGTCCCACTTACCACGATCCCGCTGATTTTCGTAAGTCCGAGCCCGTCGCCTCGTTGCTTGGTGCTCGGTCGACAACCATGATCAACGGCACTATCGGTCTGCTTCAGTGCTCGAGATTGTGAGCGGCGATTACGGCGATCACTCGCCGCGACTGATTAGATCCTCGGAGAACGGCAAGAGTCCGCTGTGGAGAAGCACGAGGACGGAGAGAAAGAAGGTTGCGCCGCTGAAGTTGGCGCCGAAATTGCCATTATCGGCGACGCCGATTCTGTACGAGTGCGAGGATCGCGCTGGATCGGCCTACCATGCCACCAGTTCGTGGAGGCAGCTCGGACTTCTGTTGAGGCGCAACGCTGTCAGTCTCTCTAGGGATCGAGTGAGTTGGAGCTGTTCGTTTCCGAGCGGGCAAGGGGAGCAGTCGGCAGGCGTGATGCGCTGAACACACGCTGTGATTGCAGGTTCTCACGTTCATGCGGCTGACGATGCATCTGCTGATCGCGCTGCTGGTCGGCACGTTGTGCTACCAAACCGGCCAGGATGCTGCTCGCGCTCTCGATAATTTCAATTTACTATTTTTCAGCTTGCTCTTCCTCATGTTCAACGCGCTAACCACGACCATCATAACGTGTAATGAGAGAACGCAAAAATCTTTGTAGCGCCTTCGCCTTCAATACCAATCTTAATGATCGATGTTGCAGTTCCAGCGGAGCTGCCGAGCTTAATGCGCGAACACTTCAACCGATGGTACAAATTGCGCTCGTTTTACATCGCCAACAGATTTGCCGATTTACCCGTGCAAATCGCTGCCGTTTCGATTTATACGCTTGTCATGTATTTCATGACTGGACAGATGCTAGAGTCCAAAAGAGTAGCGATGTTTATTTTAATCTGTGTGTTGGTCTCTTTGATCGCACAGGTTATAGGAATTATTGCTGGTTGCAGTCTTGGTATTCAGGTGAGTTACTAGCAGGTGCAGATGAAATTTCAAGTTTTTCTTCGTGCACGGTTGAAAAGAAATATTTGCTAAAAAGCATGATTAATTAAAGTAGATGAAATAGTTAAATTTGGCATACCGAAAGATATTACATTCAAAAATGTGAAAATAAAAATATTTGTCCGCCCATGACTTTATGTTATAAGTTTAAACGTGAAATTAGCTCTATTCCCTTCTCTCTCCCTCAAAATTATTAAACGAATGTTGTTTATTTCCCAACAGACAGCGCCGATTTTCGGCCCATTCACGATACTTCCGTACGTGATATTTAGTGGATTTTTCGTGCATTTAAACGACGCTCCTTCCTGGTTACAATGGCTGTTTCACGTATCATTCCTCAAGTACGGTTTCGAAGGAGTTATGATTGCAATTTACGGGTACGTATATGTATATATATATATGAAGTCGAAATATATCATTCAGCAATTGAATTAGCTGAGAAATGAATTATAACAGGAACAATAGACCAAAGATGCAATGTTCCGAAGACTACTGCCAATTCTGCTGGCCCAGAGTATTCTTAAAGGCAGTCGATATGGAGCATTCGGACTATTGCTTTGCAGCAGCTTTCCTGTTCGGACTTTATGTTGTACTAGACCTGTCGGCGTATTTTGTTTTACGTTGGAAATTGAAGACACGAAAACTTTGACGACGTTCCTATTTTCGCACGATGACTTATGGGGAAAGACCGTGATGTTGCGATCATACGCTGCGGATGACGTGTATGCAAAACTTGCCTGAGAATTTTTCCGACACGCTCGAGAGAGGCTGGATTATTCTTTTTACAGTTAGTGTGTGTCCTGTACGCGATAACCTAACTGTATAATATCGAGCGGACTCGAGTGGCAGCGGAGTTGTGATTGGTGACAATGCCACGACAAACGAACGGAAAACTTATGATGCGTTCTGTACAGCAACTTTTTAGTAAAAAATTATGATTTTCATTATCTGCGTACCGGTCAATTTCAATTAAAGGCACGCGCGTGACACGTAATTATAGCGTCTACGTTACTGAGAACTCAGTCACGTGAACGAGCATATATGCACGCGTTGTGCATGCGCAACACGCGCGGCAATTGCACCAACATCAGGACGCTAGAATGAGCACAGATGTCGACTCCTTTTTTTCACGACTGTCGTGTTTTTTTTTTTTTATTCTTCTTTTGTTTTCAAAAACAGGTGCGCGGAATCATCGAAGTTGTTATAAACGATGACTTCAGGACTATGATGAGATGCGAATTCCTTGATTATAAAGTTGAAGTTGAATATTACAAGATTTTTAGATGACTGCGACATGGAGGCTGAATGTTGTGGTGATGTCTGCATGATACTACCAAAATTTTGACACTTAACTAAGTTTGGTCGTGGAGGATTGAATCTCTTTCACACAGTCATGTTACATCAACATAACGATCTATGTTACACTTTTATCCTTCGACTAGTCGTCAACTCGTTTCATAACGAACTGTGCGATGACAATTATGTCGCTCTCGATGACACTTTGAATTATAAAACAATACACGTGACTATATTTATACGTGTGCAGTTGGTCACTCGCCGTATTTGGTGGTCTGCTATATAATAATGGCAGCGAGTGTATCTCTGTACAAGCGATATATGTTGTCTTGGACTTTTGCAATAGATTGCCCCGAAGCAGACAGATGAAACTGGGAAGAAATTTTAATTTCTGTTCTTAATTATTATTTACAAAGCATGCACTGATTCGTTATAAACAATTAATTCAGCTGCGACTCATTAAAACACGTTGATTATCTCGCCGAATCTTTCTCAAATCTTTGGAAACAAAAAGGAAAAAAACAAAAGCATTCCTCCATAGCAGCAATTCTCAATGGTAAACTCACCTTAACGTCTATGGAGAACGTTCACCATCGCCGCAACATAGAGTATAGAGCTGTCAAACCCAGAGTCTCGGCTATGCGAAAGTCGCGCGCGCACGGCGCACAACAAAAGCAAGCGCTTGCAGAGATGGCGCTGTCGCTTGGAAAAACTCGTTCACGGGCCATTGCTTTATATTCAATATAGTGACTCCCACCGCGCAGGTAAAACAGACTCCGTGCGCCGAAGCGGCGTCGTCGTTCCGTCCACTCTCTCTCTCTCTCTCTCTCTTACTCACTCTGTCTCCTACCTGTGTGTGTGTGTGTGTGTGCATTATTTTTTCGCGCTCGCGCACAACAGACTCCGCAGTAGCGGCGTGTCGCGACGACGAAATAGCGTGTGTCAGAGCTACGAGAGACGCGCTCTCGTGCGCACCTACGCTGTGCTTCGTCGCCTCCGTCGTTGTGTTCTCCAACAATTCGATTGTAGTGCCGCGATCGTTCGTTTATTCTGTGTGAGTGTGTGTGTCCAGTGCGTTAGCTGCGCGGATGAAGAGGAATATGAGGACATCATGAACGTGCCGATTGTCGCTGGGGACGTCGATGATGATGCCTACAAGCCGAGATTTGTTAGGGTGAGGTTCCTTATTTTTTTGCTTATTTATTTTTGGTAAGAATATTGATAAGCGTGTAATGGATTCCTCTTCTCGCAAGCATTTCGTTTGTCGATCGAGCAATTAGAAAGAAACTAGTCGCGTCGTATGAATTATCGCCGGTTTTAGTCCACGGGAAGAGTTTTTATTTCCCTTGCCTACTCTCAATGTAATAAATCTCTTCGCTCGTATTTCTCCGCATAATGAAAGTCCATTTGAAGAATAAATGAGCTGTATAATTATACGCAGGTCTTTGAAATTCAACTGATCTAACGATCATCCATGTCATGTGACGAAAGTTTCAACGTCGCGTGAGCTGGAACGACTTCTTTCTCAAGAGACTGATATATCTGTTGAGCAACATTCCAATCGGCGCGGAGAAGGCGTCGGGATTCGATAATTTTCACGGGTGCACCTGTGTCATGCAAACGAGCGTCGTGCGTTTTGCCGTGATTTCCGCAGCGACGAATTTATGTAAGCAAATCCATTGCGCAAGATTGCGTCCGAGATAGGTGTTGTTGTTTTGACTTGAAACGAAAAGCCATAGGCGACTTTGGTTTCCGCGTTGGTTACGAGATGGGATAGGAAAAATAGCGCCGGCGTAAAAGGGACACACGCGCGTACTTCCTTGCACGAGGTGCTTTCCCATCCGCGCGATCGCGCGAGAAAGCACTTCTTCTCTTTCTTTTACGTGATCAATCTTTCGAAATTTTTCTCAAGAACGCGTGATTTCGCGCGAAAAAATAACGCAATGAATCATCTATCGGGCAATATCGCGGTAAGGATTTTTGGAATTACCATAAGTGTCGTAAAGTGGAATTAAAAGAAACGCTTATATATTGACGGAAGCGTCATAGATAACGATTTTATAGCGTGAATTTTCTTTTTCAAACACACAAATGTCAAGTGGCTCGAAGTGGCGCGCAGCTCATTTACCAGCGTATTTTTTATATTTCACGCGACAGCCGGAAAGCATCCGAAACTTGTCGTCGGTGCTCCGCGTGCGAACGTACTCCGAATAATCAAAGGGACTGCGCGCAAAGCACGCTCGGCGCGACGATCGGCGAGCCGCGCTTCTTTTTCGCGGGATCGGAGAGAAAACTGTCACCGACACCCGCGCGCGTGAGAAGAGCGCGCGCGCGCGCGGTAAAAGTGCGGCACCGTGAAAGCGACTAATTATCTCTCGCCGCTCGTTGATTCCCCCCGTCCGCCTCGGCAAACAATCGCGAAAACGCGTATGACACTCGGCAGCTCGTGGATATTGCCTTTTCCCCGGGACTTCGCTCGAGCGTCATTAGCGCGCGTCTAATCGCCTCCTCGATACATTCTAATCGCTGTTTAATTGTGCTCAAGGAATATCTCTCGTCCCTAATTACACAGGAATTGCCTCGGCGACGCGCTTACTTTTCTAGGTCTGTCTGTTCGAGCTGACGTCGTCGCGCGCCTAATAAACTGCAATCGTTCTATACTCCTTTTATTTTCATCTCGCCGCGTGGAAAGTTCTCAGCGAATCGCAGCTGCCACTCGATTTCCTTCGTTTGTTAATTAATGCGAGAGACGAGGCAAACGACCAACGGCTCAATGTTCGATTAAAAAAAAAATACAAATGTGTCGGTTGAAAAACAGCGTACTTTGTATTCTTACGTCGTCATTATCAAAGCCAGACAATATATTTTCCATAACAATAGAACACCGACCCGCAACCACATAAATGACTCATCCCAGATAGTTTCCCCATTTAGAAAAGCCCCCGTCGAGCTCGCTTTTTCGGCGAAGGCAGGTGCGCACGAACAAATGATTCACTCGAACGGCTGAAATAACAAGCACTTTGCACGGAAAGTCCGCGTGCCTGTGATGTTGGTCAACTCGATTGGATTTTTCTTTTTTTTTTTTTTTTTTCATTTCGGCTTGATGAGGAAATTGCGCTGAACCGGATTTTTTTTTTTCGTTGAATATTTATGTTTCTGATTTGGTCAGCAAGGCTCGTTTGGTAATGCGTGCAGTTCTAAAGAAAACGAGACTGTTGTTGATACATTGAGTCGTGTGATTTTAGGTGTAGGATACGTGGAATTAAACTTTTTACTAGAGAAATCAAACCAATAATCATCGCGGCAGATCCAAGCGTAGAAAGTGGCAATTTACGAAGGTGACATATCGTAACTCGAGTTATCGAAGCACTTTTTTTCTCCTTTCGCTCCCAAGTGTATTTATGCATAATCATTTGATCATTAACTAATGTTCTTTTTCCTTGCTGGAAAATCGACCCTAATCAAACGAACTTGCGTCCATCCGTGCCATCGTTATCTTTGCTGTAAGGGGGGAAAAATCGGCGGAAAGTACAGCAGCTCGATGACGCAACAAAAGCCGATGCCTTAATTACCCGCTCAGCATCCTGCCGTTATTCAACGATTTTTTTTTCTACGCGGAGACGATCGAATCACTAAGCGGCGCGTGAGAAAAATCGAGCACATTTTCGCCGCCTCGTGAGAAAACGCATTATCTTTTGGGACTTCGACGCGAGCGATTCGTCGAAAAGAAAGTTACGTCGAGTTGTTTTGCAAGCGATAAAGATTTGATATCGAGCTTGGCGCGATAAGATTTTCGATCGCGTCGCCCGTCTCAAATATTTGACTTCGTTCGGTATCTAACGAGGCTATACTTGAAAAAAAAAGGAATGTCGTTCTATCTACGCGTAACATCTCTTGAAGAAGAGAGAAAAATGCGGTGACGCGTGTTTATGGTGATCAGAGAAACTCTTCTTTACGATCCCCAATATAATCTCTATTTCGATACAAAATATACGAGGCCAGATAATGCGAGACCAATAAATGCTTCGAGGCTGGCGGATGCCGTTTTCGGGGTCTCATTGTCAAGTATAAAAAAAGGGGAGCATTATCCGGCGCACGGCGACTTGATTATTCTTTTCAGTGTCATACCATCTTTGATCTTTACTGAGTACAATTAACATTAATTATTCTAGATTTAGCTTCTATCGGATCAGAAAAAATTGTCGTCGAGGCGTTTACTTTTTATTGACAGATAATCGTTATTGAATCAACAAATAAATTATACTTAGAAACACTTTTCGATTAAAACATCGATGTACCCCTACAAAAGCAAGAAAGAATAACACATTTTCTCCAAGTAACTCAAGTGCTTAACCAGGAAAGTTCAGAGATCCGTTTGCGGGTATTCAGTCTCTCTCTCTCTCTCTCTCCTTCTCTCTCTCACAAGCAAAAGCCGCAAAAGATGTAACCTCAAAAAAATGTTAAAGTCAATTTTCCCATCCTTTCGAATTCCTCATTGGAAATGTAGTATTGCAGAGCTAACCTTTCGAAAGCGCGTATAGGTTGTACGTTATTTTTTTTGAACCACGTGAAAGGCTTGGTACAGCAGAAGCCTTCATAAATTGCTGAAAGTTTGTTGGTGTAGACTCGTACTGCGTGCATCTATATGTGTGTGCAGTGCCATCTTAAGGCTTCTCTCTCTCTCTCTCTCTCTCTCTCTCTCTCTCTCCATGGACTTTTAGCTTTATTCGATTATCACTGCTTGTGGTTTTACAGAAATTCTGTACGGGTTAAGATAGTTTTTCTTTTTAATGCGGTTATTGAGAAAACTTCCGGTATAATTATACCTAAAAAAGAATAAATAAAAAGGAGAAGATCAGCAAACGATTCATAACTAAACTTTCGAATAAATTTTTTTCGCGTGAATTCGCGTGACGAAAGAAAAGTTTTCTTCGTATCACGAATCATCCTTCCTTAATTTACGCGTGTCTGCGATGTCTTCGCACTGTGGAGAGCTAACGACGACGTAGTCATTTTTATGTGCTTTAAAAGTAGATTCGTCATTATCGGCGAAATATCTTTAGAAAATTACGTACATGGTTACCATTCACGTGGCTCTCAATCGTAAAATATCGAACAAAACGGTAAGCACCGTGATCATGCGATGGTGAGAGAGAGGGAGAGAGAGAGAGAGAGAGAGAGAGAGAGAGAGAGAGAGAGAGAGAGAGAGAGAGAGAGAGAGAGAGAGAGAAGAAAAAATTAGAAATGCGCTAACCAAGTTAGCGTTCAAAGAATCGGGATAAATAATTCCGTGAAGCCGTAACGCGGAGAACCGTTGTGCGCCGAACGGAAAAGCAGCCACGGTTAAATAATAATAGATCGAGGAAAAAAAAATTGAAATAATCGTCGCAACAGATCCAAGGACGCGGGACGTTCCTCGCGGCAATTACGAATCGTAAAAAAATCGCAGCCAAGGACGTATTTAAAAATTCTCACGCGCATCAGCCGACTCTCACATGAGTTCGCGAATGAATAAAAAAGAAAAAAAACAGAAAAGAGCCTTTAAGCGTGCGCCGACGTTACTATCGATCATCGGCCAAGGCTGCACTGCTCATCCTCTGTACACGCTTGTGCTGTCAGTGCTGTCGTTAATTGCTTTTACTTTGGGCGGGGAGTATATCTTCTGCACCGGCTGGCTGCGAATGATGATCTTAACGATTTTTATGTGTCTGGCTGGTGGCGTCAGAGTCTAGCACTCGCGTAACTGAAAGGCGAACGAGAGGATCATCGCGATCGCGAGAAGTGCTTAGACGCGTGTTTGTCGATGATGATGATGATGATGATGATGATGACGGTTGCAATTACAAAGCGATTTTGCTGCTCTATCGCCGCTTCAAAATCTCAAGCGTCGGAGTGCAAAAGCGCAAACGGTCCAATTAAGAGGCACGTAACTTTCAGTCTTAACTCGCGCACTGGAAAATAACAAAATAACAAGTCGTTATCCCACTTTATTGCGAATAATAATAATTATAGGTGTCGTTCGAGCGCAGCAGCGCGTTGTTTCTCTTTATTCCTCATTGCGAAAAAGCTCGTTGATGAAACTTGGTGGCAGCCGCGCGGAGGAGAAGAGAGCGGCGGTGTCGTGCCGCGGCCGAAAGTGCGTCCCCCCATTGTTCCAGGGCGCGAGCGCGTGCC